TTATCACTCGGTTTCCGCTATGCTGCCATGCGACCGTAGTTTTGTACTGGTCAAATGGGGTTCAAAATCAGTCTAGTATTACAGAATAAAAAACTCTGGAAAAGTACCGTATTATAAAACGAAACTACGTTACAAAGGGTAAAACTGCAAAAAGAGTAAGAAGATCCGGTGGTACAATACAGGCTTGAAAGGGGTTAAAAAAATTGGCGCAGATTACCAAGTTTTGTCATCTCGAGCTTCTTTCATACTGTTTTCTCTGCACATACTGCTTTTCCTTTCTGATTGATTTGAATTTTGGAAAGACTGACGAATGACATTTTGGGCCTTATATAGAGACGTATGGGGTTCAAATATTGCCTTTAATTCCATGCAGAGATGTGAAGGGCTTCACAAGGCGTGTTCCTCGCCTATTGTCACGCTGATCGAGGTGCATTCTTCGGACAGAAAAATGTGAGATAAGTACGAAAATCTAAATCCAGCGAGATAATCTCGAGCGAATAAAACAAATGCGATTGTCTTTTCCAGTTGCATCAACGAAGATCGTTTGAAAATCTGAATTTGTGATAATCATAGAATCTCTGTGAAAATATTTACCACTCGTTTTCATTCAACTTTCAATCTGAAATTTCAGATGATTTGATCATGCATTTGGGAGTGGTTCACTCGGAATTAGTCACGAGTGAACCACTCCAAAATTGTGGGGTTTTCCAGTTGACGAATAACTCGAGCCATTTTAATGTAATTTTATTTTGAACGTGCTGTTGCACTTTGAGCTGCATTCGCGGTAATGGTACTTGAGTTGATGTCATTTGAAATTCAGTTTTCCATCTCATAATGCCGATTGCGCAAATTATCCTCAATGTTAGTTTCCCAATGAGGAGAAAAAAAAAAGTGAATCGAATTTCAATTCCTTCCACGTATACGTATAGTTTTTCTTGAAAACTGGAACATGAATGAATCTCATTTACATTTCGTACCTTGTCGCAATTATCTGAGTAACGTGTACGTGCAGTCAAATAAATGACTCGAAACAGGCGGTATTTTTTTCGATCATGAGCAGGATTTTTCAGAGATGGAATTCCATCCTTTTTGCCGCATAATGCTATGTTCGGAAATCGTGCCGCCAAATTCATGTTTCGCGGCTCGCAGGCGGAGAAGCGTGAACAATTTATGGGGGGGGGGTTCAAATTTTGCTGCACCCCGGCATGCATAAAAAGAGAGGCGAGATTGCCAATGACACGCCTCCAGACGCAACAAATTGATATCCCTAAAAAAAGCAAGATTCTGATCGAAAGCATGATGTAATCTTGGCACTTCACCAGAAAAAATCGTCCCGCTGAACGTTGTAGCGGATCTGCTTTCGTTTCAGGCCTTCTGCTGTCCGGACCTGCTGAGCAGTGAGCCCCAGGTATCAAACGCTCGTCTTCGTCTTATCCTGTGTTTTAAGAACGTGTTGCAACTGTCTTGACTTGCGGCGAAGCCCGGCTTAGAAAGCCTGCAATTGCCTCCAGGCCATTCAGACAAATGGTGCATTGTGCGGTGATCACTGTTTGTTCCGTGATATCTAAACCAGAAGACGGGGGCAGTCAGGGACATAAGGGCAGAGATATTTCCTGATGTTAACGGGGAGCGGAGTTTTTCATGTCAGCGAGCATTGCGGCCGAATCACATACCCTAGAGCGCATGTCGAAAGCAGCATTGTAGTTCATTGGGCTCCAAATCTCGCGCTGTTGCTTGCGGTATTCCGATTCCATATCTTTGGGGAAAGCCGCGCAGTCACGTTTTGCAAACAAATTGGTTTGCCTTTGCACTTATGCGTGCCGAATCTTGGATGGACTGAATATTCGGAATATCTCATCACTTGACTCTAAGGAAGACAAGTGTTCGGAGCGAATAGGCAAGATTGCCTCGAAATTAAAACATCAACAAAGCGGTTAAGTACGGCATGTAAATATTTCACCAAATCAGACACGCTGTTGATGCAGTGAGTCAATCTCGCGGATCTGAAATTCTTGGGACACACTACATTGAATCAAAAATTTATTGCTGGCTTTTTTTTTCAACAAGCTCAACGAATTTGATAAACTTCATGTTGATTTTGGTAAGGAGATTGTTCTCAGGAGCGTGTTCTCAGTCAGCCCAGAATGCCAGTGATCCTGAATATACGTTCTCACGTCAACAGTAATATTAACAGTTTTACTCAATAAAAATAACAACCGAACGTTTCATGACACCAGAAAGAAAGTTTTAATAATAGGTTTCTAGATTTACGGCGCAAAAATCATTGATGTAATGTTTCATAATGATCTTGATGATTTCTGCTTGCTGTGGAACGCAATTTCAGTAAATCTTTCTTATCTGGAATTTTCAAATGCTGTATCTGGATGAAGTCTGTCAGATGCTTCAAATGCAAGAAGTGAACAGAGTTGTACCTGGCCGCCGGTGCCTTTCATCAGTTTGTTACTGATATACTAGCTCTCCTGTAAATAAAAGAAAAGAAAAGATTTAGGAGCTATCCTAGTTGGGGGGACCCAAGCTCACGGAGCTATCCTAGTTGGGGGGACCCAAGCGCAAAACTACGCCTATATAGATGTCGCTAAGAACGACACACTGAACGTTCTTGGTGGACACAATGAAACAGTGCAAGTGTCAATTCACATTGAAATTCACTTAGAGTCAGTAATGAATTTGAATCGAGAATAAAACGGACTGATGGTAAGGCTGGCCATAGCGTACCACAGGATCAACAGAACAGGGTTGTTGAACGATTGGAGTGTGTCCACCAAGAACGTTCAGTGTGTCGTTCTTAGCGACATCTATATAGGCGTAGTTTTGCGCTTGGGTCCCCCCAACTAGGATAGCTCCAAGATTTACTCTCGGTGCACTGCGGATGCTCTACTACTAGATTAGTTGAAGCAAGTTAATGTACAGTATCTGTATTCAGACGACTCATTTGGATGTGTGGTGTGTGTGTCAAGTTAATGTGGTTATCATCTCCAACGTCGGACAAGTTACACCAAAGGAGTTCATTTTAAATAAGGTTCTTCAGGGAGTCACTAGTTTAATCTGGATCTGGCCTCACTATCCCTGATGTATACTAACCGCTCTACGACACAGAAGATTGGAAGTGATGTCTGAACTTATAGTATTTGCGAATATTCAAGAACTATTTATTTATTGTACCAGTGTTGGGTGAATAAAAAAAAATTCAGGAGCAGGATACTATATTCCGATTACTGTATCTAATTGTGTGATATCCGAAGAGTCTTAGAGTAAACATTTCTCAGATTGATCGATGAAGAGTGAATTTAAGGGTGTATGTTCGTATGAATATGGCTTGAGAAGCAATTTAAAAGTTATCCTAGTTGCTGAGTACTGTATTTTCCATTCTGGTCGACGCACCGAATTAGGGTATATGTGTCCACTCAGTATCCGTTAGTGAATTCAATTGAGACTTCTTTCATGTATCTTGAATTGTTTTCGAAAATACGAGAGTGAGAGTGGTTTAAATTTAATTTTAATCACTTCATTTGTGATTCACATTTCTGAGCAAGTTTGACGTACAATATTTTCACATCGATTTAACCGCGAAATAAATATTCTCCTTTTTTAATGTTATGACGTTCTTCCCTAGTTTCTCTACAGACATGTTCGCGTAGTCCGCTGACTTATGTGTTTATGTCGTGATCTCGCTTCCAACATTTCTTTGTTTGATTTATTTTTCAATAAAGCTGAATATTGCCGGACATGGAGCCATCAATAAGCAGGCTTATAGGTTAGTCATGAATTTGTGGAAATTCAAGTATTTTTCATGTGCGATATCCTCCATCGCTCTGCAGTGTGCTTCATGTTGTCAATAACTCTCCCGGATGTAATGAACGCCCAAGAATTAGAGGGACAAGAAGAAGTGGAAATCTACGTTGGGAAGTACTTGGGGAAGTTGAATTCCTATCATCATCAAGTTCAAGGCGAGGTTTATGCCGTTGACGCCTTCACATTCTTTGTCAAGGACTTCACGTATGATGGCAATGGCAAAGGTGAGGTTTCCAACAATTATTATCAAAGTCACTTCCAGATAAATGAGTTAGTGGAGGGTTTCGAAGAACGTGAATAGTTCGACAGTAGCAATTATGTTAAAGAATTAGTTGTACGAAATAGGACGGTTTGAAATTTGTGTATTGCATTCAAATCCTAAGTTACGGTTTTCCAGGTGCGGAAAGCCGCTGCGTTAATTCTGAATATGTACACAGTTCATTTTAAAGATGCGCTACACTTCAGACCTTGTAAACATTTTTTTATGCCTTCTGTGTTACAGTTTTTCTACAACTTTGTGAACAGTATACGAAGATTTTAGATAAAAAGGTTATTTTGGGTCTTCGAACTCCTTGTTATGAAGGCACTGTAGATACAATATCTTGAATTGGAAAACAGTCACGATTGTCGAACAAGGATTTGGTAATGGTGTCCTGCGCGGGCAGTTGAGTTGGTTATCAAGGCTTTTTGCTTCACTCCGAGCGACTTCCTTCATTCCAATGACTTCGACTTGATATATTTTTGTCCGTGAACACTTCGCTCATTAACAGCAACAAGGCCTCTCCATGCCGGGTCCATTTGAAGAGCTTTCTTTTCCCCATCATTCCTGCGTGTCGTTTATCATGCCTACGTGCATGATGAGTGCATTGACCAGCTCTGGAAATTTTCAACTTCGTTTGTATTGTCAAGATAGAGAGCCTATATTTTTTTATGAATAACGATTTCATTTTTTTATTTGAAAGAGCGCTTCAAGACAGCATGCATAAAAAGGTCAGGTTATGTTAGTTACAAATATCTTTCAATTAACATAACCTGACTTAACCTAACCTAACGCATACTGAATTCACGAGGCAAAGAAAAATGGGTACTGAGATAACAGGATAGTACAGTACCAACTTTTCTGTGTGATGATATAATCAATTGTATTTGAACCTTTCTGGGTCAAACTTGAAGGGAATTCAAATTTTTTTAAATTGGGAAGTTCTTGAGTTCTGGAATGCAGCCCTACTTCCGAGTATAATTTAAACATATATTTTCTAATCGTTTAATTTTTTAGAATTTTTGGAGGTCCTATTTTCTAGAAGTTACCAAATCTCCAGTGGAACGCGTAAAAATTATTAAATTATATGCCGGAAAAGGTTCTATCCAAAGTTGGCATCATTTTAATTACGCTTAGGTTAGAGCTGATGAGGTTAGGGCCTAAAAGTTACAAGTCCGTTTACAATACCTTTGTCTTGAGAGGAATGGCCGGTGATTCACTGGAAATTTGAATTGGGCAGGTTTTTGATTCGGAGAGCCTGAATTGTATCAGTGTACTGTATCCAGAAAGGAATGTTCCCGTCGGCCTTGCATGTCTACCGTACTTGAAACTGCGTCAACTCCTTTACTCTTGTACTTTTAACATTGCGAAGAAGTATTTCTGTGCGATTTTGATGCGCATTTGTATTTTTGCGCTTCTTTTCAATCTAGGGTGACGCGTTTTGAGGTGACTTCATACAACCTTACTAACAGAGGAGCAAGTATGAGATAACATCGCAATGCTAATGGAATTTATATTTTAAACAGATGCATTCTTTTGGGCGGGATCCAATTACCGGCCAGGATTGCAAGGGTTCATAGTTCCCAACGAATACGGCCGGTAATTATTTTTTCTCTCAAAAAATTTTCAGTTTTAAATCACGCATATATTTCTTCGAAATGCGCTCTACTAGAACCAATGTTCTGGACCGGTATTTGAACAAAGATATTACTTTGACCTTACCGGATAAGAAGAAAATGACTGAGATCAAATGGCTTGCTGTGTTCGACCTGACGGTGGGGGTGAGTTTTTTTATTCTCATAAAAAAAGGACTGTTTGATCATTCTTCTAAAATGGTTAAATACTTTAAAACCATGTTTTACAGAAAATAAACCTTTTTTTTATTGATTTTAGCCCTACCAACTTTTTCGGAAACCATACATTGTGATATATCGCTGGAATTTCGAATGTCTAGTGACTCTAGTCCACCAGAAAGGAGCTGAAAAATAATTGGAGTAGAACAGGTTCTTTTTGGTCAAGTGTTCAATTAAGCCATTGTGCGAAGTACACTAATTGCGTGCTTCCATTTTCCGTACTTTTCGAACAGAAAATTATTCTGTATCTGTCAGGAGACCCTAGATGGGGAAAATTTGATATCGAGCAATTCTAGGGATTGTTTTGTTGTCTTGCATACGGTTATAAGATTGAAAGTCTGTAAAACCAATTGAGTGAGTGACATTATCCAAACATTAAAATTGTCTATCAACGATCCATCTAAAGTCTAAACAATGCTTGCACTTCATAGAATTATGTTCGTGTTCACATTCAAAAGTCTGACATTCTTCATACTTACAAGCAAGAATTAAACTTAGCCTCTTCATCAGTCCCTGGCGAATCTCATGGAAATGAAAATTTTCCGGCTAAAACTTGATTCAGAAGTTCAGAATCGAATGACAAATCTGCAAAGAGTGGTGGTGATATCTGAAGATGAGTCTTATTATGTTCGGAGTCATGAAAGAAAATTTTAGAATTTTTTTTTTTCTGAGGTGTGTATGTTCAACAATTTATATTCTATGTAGGAAGCTTTTGGGGACGTGTACATACCTGAAGGTTTTGAACCACCTGGGGCTCAAGTGCTTTCTGAGCTGTCCCGCAGATCAAACGGAGTTCGTTCGGGTCCGATCGAAATCCGGGATTCGAAGACCATCGCTGTCCCGGATTTTCATTATGATGGACAAGCTGATGATGCTGTCTTCCTTGTTGGAAAAGGTCCGCAGCCACACCGCGGAGGTTCAAGGGTGCCCGACGAAAATGGATAGTAAGTCGATTCATCGAATCTCCGTATCGCTGAGTAATGGTTCAGGTTTCATGGCAACTTGTATTCGTTACTAACTCTTGGAGAAAAATTGGGCGCTCAGTGTTCAGATTACTTCAGAAGTTCAACTTTTCGTGAAATCAGTTAGTACTGTACTACGAAATACGATCGATTCATACAATAGGTGACCTAATCATCAGAAGCGTTCGTCAGCATAATTCCGAGCCCGAAATGAGCCTTAGTGAAGATCACTGGAATTTTTTATAAAATATATTTCAGAATGAATGACATTCGTAATTTTAATTTTGAAAATTCAAATTAACAGATAAAACTATATTAGGCTGAAATTTGGGCCATAAGTGACGCAAGCTTCAAACTCGGAGCATTATCAAAATATTTTCGAAGAAGACTTGGCTGTAGTCGAATAATTTTATATTCATTTGAATGAATAAATAAAGAACATAAATTAAAAGCCATCGGGGTTTCAAAGGGAAAAGCATTAATGTAAGGCATATGTATGCATGTTAAAAAGGGCCCTTCGACTCATGTTCGTGGTGTTCGAAGTCGCGAAAATATGCCGATGCTTCTCGTCAAGCCGATATTGTCGTGTTCGCGAAATTATTTTTGTGCAGTCAAAACATTTTTTTAGATTCACGAGAATACGTGTGATCGAGTCGCTCGTGTTGGCAGTTGAATTACTGTGATTGATAAAAAAAAAGGATTTCAGCTTGACGAAATTGAGGCGGTATACCGGAGAAGATGTCGTCCTTTTGCTGCCTGGAGAGATAAACGTATTCGAGATTGACTGGGTGGCTGTTTATGACTTCGCAGCGAACAAAAGTCTTGGTTCAGTAGTTGTTCCGAGTCGACTCAACGTGCCCCCCAGCCTTTTGGAAACCATTGTGAGTTTCAGTGTTCGTGATTGAAAAAAAGGCAAACATTATCTTTCCAACTGTTGATTTAGTCCGTCAAAAGCGATCTGATTAATTGCGAGCAACTGCACCGAGACTTGCAAGTGCGATGGGGGCTATTCGGACCGCAGTTGACAATTGAGCTCGTTGGGCTATTGGGTAAGATTTCCTTTGAGCTTGACTTTCTGTTACAGACCTTATGCATAATATTATTTTTGTTTCAAGGAGCCCGCGAGTACATGGCATTTGGCATCAGTGGGTCGGGAACCGAATCACAAATGATTGGCGGCGATGTTGCGCTTGCATACTTCAATGACCAAGGAGTTGCTTATGTACAAGATTACAATCTTACTGCGAAACAACAGGTTTGTTCCGAAGATAAATTTAAGCGTCTCCAATGAACTGGTTCGATGCATTTCCTGTACTGACGGGAGTTCGAATCATTTAGTTTGTGATCACTGACGTAGCTCATATAGATTTTCTGCGCTTTTTGTTGGCTATTCCTGTTAAGTGACGCATTGTGATCCTTTAAAACGAAACATTTTCTCGGAAATTAGATGACACTACTGTATTTTTTGTGTACGATTGAAGAAGTGCCCCTCCTAGTCCTAAATGCGGATACTCATATCCCGGAACTAAAATGACAACATTTTGGTTAGTTTTCTTTTGTACTATTACTCTTGTGTCTAATTACAGTATTTCGGCAAATAATACTTCGAGCAAAAGGTTCACAACAACTTTTGCACAATTCGTCGGAAGACTTTTATGGTACATAATCAATCACAGCGGTATGATTTGCACCATAGAAAAAAAACTTACCAAAATGTTCACAGATGTGGTTTCTTCGGAATGAATTCAGTTTTTATATTCATCTCCTTTTCGTCTGGAATTTTGAGCGAGGAACGAGAGTTCTAGAAAAGTTTTCGCCTCTGATTCAATGACCCAATGCTTCCAAATAAATAAATTTATGTTTTTCAGTGCTCTAATTTGCTGAATGACCGTCATCGCGGAGCTTGTACAGATGAAGTCGTCGGAGGAGTGGGAAGTTACCAGATTTTGTCGAGTGCTCAAGCAGATGGACTCAACACTATCAGATTCAGACGTCCACATGCTGACACTGGTGGGTGTCGTAAAACTGATTGAAGAGATTTGGTGGCCAAAAACAAAATTATAAGTTTTAATGATCAGTGGTTTCCCTTGTATCGGCTAGTCAAGTTCATGCGATAGTTGTTAAAACGTGTTGTTATGAGAGTAGCATTTTTTTGGAAAATCTTGAATTATCATACTTGATTGTTTCAGGCGACAACGGCGATCAACCTTTTCCAGTTGGGAGGGAAGGTGCCATGATTTGGGCCATGGGAAAATTGGATGACAAAGGAAATCCAACTTTCCACCGAGCTTACAACAAGGAAACGCTTCTGCTACAATTTGATCGCCCCGAAACGGACAAATGTCAAAAGAACTTCGTTAAATATCGGGAAAAAAATCAGTGAGTGCTCTAGAAATGACCAATCTTCGCAATCTTGCGTATAATTGCGATTGAATCAGCTCTGATTTGAACAAATGCGTATGATAAGCGCCGTGCATATTGTGCTGCTTTAATTTGCTGTGAAATTATTTCCCATGCTGGATAATGTGACTTTAGTGTGTTTGGGGTTTTCATTTTTACGCTTTTCACTAAAGTATTTTCGATTCTCGGAATACGCGTGGAATTATCAAAATCGCGGACTTTTTTTTCAACCCGATTTTTGAGATGCCAAAAAGAATTGCTGAAGTCCTTGTTACTCAATGCATTTATCTGTGTAGATGGTTTGACCATTCACTTTCTGTTTCTAACCACACGCTAAAAATTGTATTCTCATTTCAGAAAGCCTTGGGGAACTTTCCGACTAACAGACCCATCTGTGAACTCATTCAATGCATCATTAGGTCCGCCGGGAATGCGACGTGGTTATGAAGGAATAACAGGTGATTTACTTCGCAGATATTCATAACTTCAAAAATAAGCACTGTACTGTGAAATACTCAATGTGTTGTAAGAATTAAGAGTAGAAAAGCTGTACAATGTTATCTAAAGAAATCTGTTCAAATCTTCGGCGTTCGTTCATAAATTTAATTCGTCATCGAATGTGCGATTTCCCTTTTTTCGATGAGTGACATTTTAACTCAACTTACAAAGGTCAAACCCCGGCACATGTGGTGTGGTACATCAACGGCTACCTGTCCCCCGAAATTTATCTGGAACGGGGGAAAACGTACAAGTTTCGAGTTCGCGGTGGGAACCAACCGCACCAAACTGGCGCATCCTTTTATCACCCGTTCATCATTACGGATGAACCACATGGGGGTTATGGCTTGCTTACTGATGAAGAACGTCAGGAAATCAGGACACTTGCTGGTGTTACGTTCACTCGTCGTGGATTGCCTGGACCCGTAGCTGGTAAATTTCATCCCATTTTCCCCTCTTGAATTTCGCTCTGAGTGAAAGTTTCCGATTTTCCAACTCGCGAAGTGTTGTAAGCGTGAAAAAGTTTTACTATTTTTTCTGTTTCCGTATTGAAAAATATTACTGAGCCCGCCATAAGTTGAATTTAGGAATCGAAGTATGAAGAAAAAGACGGGAGAAATTGGTCCGCAAAATTCATGGCAGATACAGTGCAGTCGAACCTCTTCAAGTCAAACTTCAAGGACTAGCAAGAAAAAGAGAAGTTTCCAGTTGGGGAAACAAGCATTTCTTTAGGGAAAGAAAGACGAATCACAGGAAATTGTAATTGGTAATATTCTAGGCCTTAAATTGCTTCTCAAATGAGTTGACAGGATGATGATCTTGGAGGCAGGGGTTCATTTGTCCTATTAGTCTTGCACTTCCTCTCTAAACTCATCAAGTTGCTTCGTTTGTTTCAATTACTTTCTCCTTTCGTGTGTCAATAAAATAATTGTTCAAAGGTCTCCCAAAAGTTCAGGAGATTTGAGGAGGAAAGCCGTCGAGTTAGGTTTCAATTCATTTCTTATTAGGAAATGCATACAGGGAATTGGAAAGAATTCGGCTTGGGGGGGGTTCGACTTATTAAGGTTCAACGATTTGGTTATTTTCTGCTGCACCTTCCGATGTCCCGGGCCTATCGCGCTAATTTCAATAACATGTGTCGCCTGAATTCAATTATCCTTTAAGAGCTTCAATTTGGGTTATGTTCGGCTCGAAACTAATTCATGTTTGCTCTCGTTCGATACGATAGCTGTGTTATGGTTCATATCTAACCTGTACCAAAGAGGGAATGTGATGGAGAATTACTGATTCTATAGTTGGCTTTTTTCCAACGAACAAACTGAGGCGTGTTCGTTTCGTTTACTGTAACTGCTTCATCTCGTCTTTTTTCTCTCGTTTTCATTCAAACTTAAATGTAATGTAGTTGCGTTTGTCACGGTCCGATTTGTTAATTTTAACACGTTTTTATTAACTCGCTTTCTTGTCCGTTTGTTTGTCCGGATCAAATTTTGCAACAAATACAAATGAAATAGATGCGCACCCCGTTCAAGGTTATTTTTTCCTTTTTCAAAACGTGGTTTTTTAGATTAATTTTTTAATCTACTAAATTTTTTGCACATGACTCCACATCCTGTAATTGTGTACCTCATTCTTCGTATCAGCTGGTCCATTGTGCATGTGGCGCCATAACAAAACAGCTGGAGGACACGGAGATAGACGCCTGGATGACGAGTTCCCGTCATTTAAAGCTTTCCGCAACTCTTTGTCGTGGTTTTGTGAACGTGGCGCGGAAGATGGCGGAGCTATGCTGCAAGTCACACCGAACGTTAGTTGGCCCGACACCGTTTACTACAACAGTTATACGACTCGGAATATGGGATGGCGCATCCGCGTCGTTGATGATCTCGGGGGCCTGGTGAACCTTCAGCAACAACAAGCGCCGAATGCTCCGTCCGCTGCGTCTTCTGTATGGGAACGAACGAATTTTCAAGGTTTGATAGTCATCGTGGGAACCGCGTTGTTGCATTTTCTGTGATAATTTCAGGAAATCGGTTGCTCAGGATTTTGATTCCGTCCATTTCGTACGAACAATGTTTGAGGGAATAATTTTCCTCATCGAAGTCAACGAGCTATGAAGATTCTGCCATTGTGCGAAAATTGAGTTATGAGTTTCCAATTATATTTTATCTACGAAATTATTTGAACCAGAAAATTGACTGCTGGTGTCATTCGTTTTGATTTTCTGGAAGTCTTTTTTTCTTATTGAATGAACGTTTGATAAAATTGAAAAATATGTTCACAATTGTTCCAAAACTAAAGGAATATTCTATTTCGTTTCGAAAAGCCCTCCAATAACATTTTCGGCTGTGATAACGTGATCGTTCTGAATTTCAAGTTACTGATGCATCGAGAAGGGTTGTTCCTATGAATGACGGAAGCGCCAAATGTTACCGACATTGCCTGGACTGGCAGAAAATTATTATTTCTGATTTTTTGACCAAAAGCGTAACTTTATTTTGGCGACCGAAGAACTCTCCTAAATTTTGGCAGCATTTTCAAGGTTAACCTCGTCGGATCTTGTGTTGTACTGGCTGATGAATGTGGAAGAGACTATTTTCGATTTCTTTTCAGCTTTTGAGTACTCATTCCCGTGTTCATTTTATTCGGTTTTGACTGATTTTTAAAACGCTTTTTCTCATATCAAGAATATGAACTCATGATCATCCTTCCGTGTTTCTAGAAAAGTCGTTTCGAAATCGGGTCGAGTTTTTTGTTTTTCCTGCCAAAAAAATGCGCGATTTCGTGAGCTGATTAGCAATATTGCTGGAAGTTGAAATAACTTCCAATAAAGATGGATTCCATCGGCATTGATTCGTTACCAGCAGAAATATTGGAGTATATATTTACTCTAGTCTCCCCTTACAAGGATTTGGATAGCTGCGCTTCAACATGTAGATTATGGTGTGAAGCAGTCATTAGTAAGTTCTTATTGTGAGGCGTGAGGCTGCATCTTCTACATCTGCGTAATGAACTTTTTCAGGAATGCGAGAGAAGAACAAGAACAACTTCCCCCTCCTGTTGGCGAAATCACGACTGGAATGGAAAGTGTTGAAGAACGGTTGTAGCAAAAATCCTTCGCAGTGGATTTCTTCCCGATGCGGGCATGCATCTTGTTTAGTAGGTCAGATTAACTATTTTTTTGGCGATATGTGGGAGTGAACTAACGTTATTGTATTCATCAGATGATCAAATCTTTGTGTACGGCGGTTTGTCATCGCTAGCTACCGGCTACAATGACCTTTGGAGCTTAGATTTGACGGAAAGACGATGGTCTCGCATACCCACTGCTGGGAATCAACCTTTGCCCAAAGGGGGAGCAACTCTGCTCCCACGCAGAAATTCCTTGATTCTTCTTGGTGGATTCCTTTACTACATGATTCGAAGTCCCGAAAACAGCGATCTCGTATTGCCTTACCAAGGCTATAATCTTAGTGTAAGTGGAAAGATCGAAGTTTATTTTTCTGAAAAGGAAGGTGATATGAAGTAAAGTATTGAAAACAACTACTTATTTTATTTGGAAATCTTCAGGAGATCGGATCAAGACGTAAGATTTTTTAAATCTTCCGTATTGTATAAACCACTTGATATTATTCTTGATTGATGTCCTTATATAGATAAGCTACTTTAAAATGATTGAGAAAGTTCTTGAAACGAGGTATTTATTTTTCGATTTCAGCCCTGTGAGCTTCACGTGTTCGATCGGAAAACACAGGTTTGGCATCAGTGGACCGGGAACACGAAAGAACCTGTGAATGTTTGTTACCACTCCGCCACAATCCACAGAGATGAAATGGTGGTTTTCGGTGGACAAAAAGGGACGAAAGAAATTTCCGACGAACTTTGGTGCTTTAATTTTGACGACAAACTTTGGCGGCGCCCAGCGAGGAAGGTCGAACTGTGGCCCGCGGCGAGGTGTGTACACTCGCAATTGGAGTTGGACCATAACCATCTGTTGATCCTTGGAGGATATGGCGGACCAAACCGACCTTTGCGAGATGCATGGTTGTTGGAGACCCGGAAAAATCAACAGTGGCTGTGGCATGAGGTTACTATCGAGAATACTGCCCCCCCTGGCGTCTGGTGTCGACCTTTCACCAAGGTTGGTGCCTGTTTTTTAAATAAATGTAAATATAAATCGCGGGCAATTATTTTTTTATGCTCAATTCTTCTTCTCACCTTTTCTCTGCGAGCAGATATTTTGCTTAAAAGAAAGGGTTACCGAGTCCATATGATCAAATGAGCGTGTATCAACAGTTCTGAAAGGCTGTTCTTAAAAAAAAAAACAATTATCAAGCAGGAAGTCCGAAAAGGGATAGTGTCGGTGAGCTAACCTAAACGTTTTCATCGCGCTTTTTTGACATGAGCTTCTACCAATTTCTTGAAACGTGCGTTGAAACGTGCTCGATCTTTTCAAAAATAATTTGTCTTCCGATGCGTTAACTTACGACGACTGATATTTTGATATTTTCACATTAGGCTAATTTCAGCACTTCCTCTTCTGTCTTCGGTGTTTTAATGTTCAAGCTTCCGTGTACATGTGCAGGATATTGAAGTTGGTTACGCTGCAAAGTATTTTTGTTGTTGATACAAGTAATGTATACTGTATACGGTATATTTTTTATTACAAAAGAGCGAATACTCACCATGAAAGGAAGCACGGCAAAGTTATTGAAGTCAATAATCTAGTATAAATGTTCCTGTTGTGCTGCTTGCCCTATTGTGCACTAATAGTTTAAATAATTTTTTTTATTGAAACGAAAACTCGCAAATGTTAGGTTACTTGTTCTTACTTGTCTTTCCGAGACTTACTTTTCATGTGTTCACCCGATTACTGTGATCATAGAACGCACTGTACAATATGAGACATTCAGCGATTGTACTGTGAAGTACTGTACTGTACTGCATTGAGTTGCACAATTTGAATTACTCTTGCTCTTTTTTTTCAGATTGGACATCATGCAGTTGTGATCAGTCCGTGTGACGAATGTTGTTTGCACGGTGCTCGCTTTGTTGATAAATTCGTATCCCATCGTCATAGGACGCCGGATCACGAACCTTCATCTTCAGTGAATAGTGGTGACCGTAACGTTAATGGCCAATACGGCTCCATCCGTGCATCTGTATCTTCCCCGAGTGACACAGCACCCGTGGGTGTCAAATCCCCATCACCATCTTCCAAGCGTCCGAATGCCCAACGAAACGCTCAGTTGCGACTCGAAAGCCTTCGGCGATACGAGCAGTGGTTGTTGGCTACAAAAAAGCCCAAGCGTGGGGAGCCGCGTGCTGTAGATAGCAGCACGTGTTGCACGTTACACGTGTTGGACGTGAGTCGCGTTGTGCGGGAGAAGAAGGCTGTGTGGCTGGAAAACCATGCACATTCGCGTTGTGCCCCGGGGCCGACGCACTCCCCGAGGTACTCCTTTCATTGTGGTCGGAACAGGGAGCTCATTGTGTTCGGTGGTCTGATGAACGGCTCGGAATTGATGGAAACTACGAATGACGTGTTTTTCGGGACTGTGCCGTGTGATGTAGTGCCGTGATGATTTGATGAATTTGTTCTCTATGCGTCTTGCATTTTCAATTGAGTTAACAAAGGCCGTTTGCTAAAATACTCGTTTTTCGATTGATTCTGTTCGTGGTCATGTAATTACGGGTTGTTCACTGATGCTTTACTTGATACCGGAAGGAAGTCAGAGGAGGTCGATTCTCGACTGGGTTCATTCTAAATGAATGATATGGATTCTTCGCCTCAAGTTTGATGGACCTTTCAGGATGATTTTTTCAGCTTTACAATCACGTGTTGAAAGTATGATCTAATTAGTAGTCGAGAGATTTTTGCTTTCATTTTTGTCAGAAATGGGCAGGGAAATTTTGTTTCAAGTCGCTGGGGGAGTGAGGATTATTGCAAACCGTGTGTCAGTCTGAAACATCGGGAAAATATTCATGGTGAGTTTTCGATCTCCGTGATTTTGCAAATGCGCATGTCCGTGTTCTTCCCGATTTTCTCTGTTGTAGGCTGTTGCATGGTTTTTGAAGAGGACTGCCTGGAACTTCGTTTGAGTGTGTCTCACATTTTCGTGTTGCGTGAAATCTGAGCTTTTGATTCATTAACTTGTGGGAGAATTTGAAGTCCATGTTCTTTACTACATATTGATTCAATTTTTTATTTGTTTGGCTGATGCTGTTTTTGCTAAGCTCGCACCCTTCAGGTGTGGATAATGCATTTTCAGTTTTCCTTTTTTTGCTGTGTATTTGATTTCAGTCGTTAGAAAAACGTCTGGATTTTAAGTTGTGATATGTATTCATTCTTCATGTGTATATCTCCTTTTTTAGAGTTATCTGACCTTGTTGTACTGACAAGGTTGATATCTGTGATTTGCAAGAATTGAGAATGATCGCATGCTCTAACGTCTGTCCGAGCATGTCAAAATGGTCGCGTTTCGTTGTGGAAGCTAGAATGAGCTCATATCTTGCGTGTAGCTTTATACTAGTGGTAGTGACGTTGTTTCCTGGAGTTGTGCATGGTCAACTAAACCCCTTGCATGTAAGGGGGTTCAGCGGATCTCTCTTCGATCGGATTGCGACGCATCTTTCTCCAAACCTTGGCGTCGATCCACAGATCTTCGGAATCAAGACATCGACTACACCGAATCCATTGATCCAGCTTTTGGCGAACGTGAGGGTGAATGCAACTTTCTCCTATTTTACTATCTTGAGTTTTATGTTAACTTCAAGTCGTTAGTTCATGGTCACTCGAGAATATGCGTATTGCTGTCGATAATTCCCCATTGGACCATTTAGAAAATTCTTTGTTTTTCCGTGTGTGGAAAATGTTGGATCGTGTTGACTGTTATTTCAAATTCATTGAGATGGGTTATGAGCCCCCGCATTGATCCTTGTTCGGAAATAATGTGTGTTGTAGCAGCTGAAAATCGGCAGTCGTAGTACTTGACTTGCTGTTGTTTTATTGTTATCCCTGGGATTTGTGGAATGAGGAGCTAAATTTTTGTCAAATTTGTCTGTTGGAGAGAAAAAATAATTCGTCGCGCATCTTCTGTAGCTGTCGAAGTTCGGCTTTCTAAGTGGTAAATATTTGTATCATGCTGCGTACGTATCAGTTGTTATAATCGAGACCTTCAAATTCAAATTCTACGCATAGAAGGCTTGTCTCCCGAAGCATCAAAATGGCCAAAAGTATAGCGCACGCTAATTGAACCTAATTACAGTAACTGCATACAGAAAAGCGTGACTTCCCTGTCTGAAGTTGGACCCTACTAAACTTTGAAAATTCAGACGACACAATTGGGCGTTGAAGTTAATAAGTAGAAAACTCGCTATGGGATAGTTCGAGCTCAGCTGTACCACCGTGTAAATTTTTAGCCTTTACAACATTTTGTCTTGGCGTATCTTAGTGTGTGTCTTAAATGAAAATACTGTAAATGTGATGTTTTACTTTTTCAGTTGAATCAAAATGGAGGATTCAACCCCAGTGTTCAGACGAATCGGATTACGCAAAGCGAACTGGAAAAGCGACAACAGCTGAGTAATTTGATCATCAGCTTCCAAAGAGAGCAGGAGCTGTTGCAAAATAATCCTCAGGCTATGCTCAGAACTCAAATTCAGCAGCTATTGTCACAAACTGCGAACATGAACAATGGCCAAAGTCAAAATGACCCGGCGGCACGTTTGCTTCCCTACTTCACCTTTCTTAACAACGCAGCGAGAAATCCGGCTGTGGCTGAGGTGCTCAGGAAGCAACTGTTGCAACGCAGTTTCACCACGACGACGACGACGACTCCAAAGCCTCAGCTGGTTGATTTGAGCCAACTTCGGTTTCTTTTGCAAAATGCCCCCGGGAATCCTGAGTTGTTGCAGCAATTCTTGGCAATCGCTGCCCAGCGACAAGGGATATCTTTTCCTGGAATACCGTCGACGGAGCCAACTACCACTACGACTACTACTACCACCCCTGTGCCAACAACAACAACGGAAATGACGACAACAACGACCACCACGACCACACCAGCTCCGTCGCTGTTGGTACAAACCCTTGGTGGAAACGTAAACAATGCCGTTTTCACTGAGTTCCTGAAGTTTTTGACGTCGAAGCGAGGTAGCAGTGTTCAAAATCTTCCGATCGCGACTCTTGCTCCATCGTCAACGACGTCTACCACGGTGCCACCGGAGCCTGTGACTACGACTACTCTTCGCCCCACGATATCTATTCCGCAGCCCACTGAACCGGATGCGGAACGATTTTTGCTGAAACAAGTGCTGAGCAAGGTGCTGAGTTCTCTAAGAGAAGAGAAACCGACGCTTCCCCCGACAATTATTACTACGGAATCGGTGCCTTTGACTACAAGTCGTCCGGTTACCGAAGTGCGTTCCTATTTATTCTTCTGTGGATTAACTCTTACTTGATGAGTGAAGTGCGTATAGTGTAGTTAGAGTGGGAAACTCAACCGTCTCTGTTAAAAATTCAAAAAATAATTGTTTCATTAGCAATGCAATGACGTACCTGAGGAACGTGGTCGATTTATCTGATGTGCTCAAAATAGTTTCGACGTTTACGACAACCCCGTATTGGATAAGGAAGTATATTTGATAAATGAACCAGGCTCTTAATAATTGATGTAGAGTACAGTACTAGCGAAGTGAAGTACTGTACTTCACTCAACAAGAGAACGGATAGAAAGAAGGATTTTTTCACTTCCTCTTCAGGATTGATGGGGAAATTTGCCGAATTTCTGTAAGAGTGGAATCAAACGCTTCTTAAATGTTATCTCCCAGGTAGTTTTTTGAGCAGTATGATTTTGTTTTGATTTTCTATTTAAATAATGTACAATAAAGAAATTTTCACTTCAAGAAATCTTGATCTAATTTAAGGTTTGTTGCTTGAATATATTTTCCATTTCATTACAGTATATTTTGATACTCCATATTTACACGAAATGTTGCGATCAACTTCCTTCAGTAATGATGCCATCAGTAATTCCGAAATCTTGAAATCAAGTACATTGAAGTACGTGCCTATGGTTATGATCATTATTTGAGTGGATTAAGATAATTCGGTTTGTTCCCCCAAAATTTTGAAATACTTCAGAAATCCACAACTTGGGAATACAGTAGTGTAACTCTGGTATTTTAAACTTTTTGCGTAATGCAAGATTCGCAGAAAACATTTTCTGTGGGAGTGGTCGTTATTTTCTAGATTGATGCAGAACGCCTATAATTCCGTGAGGAACACGGAAAATGTTCGTATGAAAAATTAATTTTTAATTGCTGATGAAATAAGCTTACACCTGCTCTGAAAAGGGAAACTTTGAGTGGGACCCCAAGATGCGGACATTATTGGTGCATGGATCATGTCCTTTAGACTGGAACATACGAATGTTGAACGAAAGTTGCCATTTTCCGTTTGACTTCACTGGCAATACAGTAGTTTTCATTGGTTCTCCTGTAGATGAAGAATTTCCCCAAAAACTTGGATAAAGTAAGTTTTCTCAACTGTAAGATGCAGAAAATATACAGAAGAAAGCCACGCAGAATCTGATCTTTTGGCATCAGAAGGAGCTCAAGAAGCAAAGAGCAAGTCTTGCTATGGGAAAAAATAAGCACGAAATTAGCCTGTTTTTGATAATGCATTAGGGTAATTTTCTAACGAAATTTATTTTTAGCATATGTAAATGTGAATTGCTCAATTCCCCCATGAAATGAAAAATTAAATGTTAAATTCTTCCAAAAATATGGGTAAAGTGTATAAATCTTGAGTCACTGTCTGGATGTTGGGGTATATTTTGTCAGTTCTAAGTGTCTCTAAGTCAAATTGTCCATATGTCGGGGTGTCCGTATTTCGGGGTACTTTACTGAAGCGCTTCATTCGTCAAGCTGCCCAAAGAGTGTCCAGAGCTACTTTCAACGTTAAATCAATCTTGTCTTCGTCGTTTAGCCAATTGCTGTCGTCACATCACCCATATCGACAACCACGTCGGATCCCGAGAACTTGTTCAAGCAACTTCTCGCATTATCCGGAATAACCGAATCGGTCAACGGGAAAATTGTTGAACCTCTTCCGATTGCAACGCGGGTTGCTGACACCACTCTTCCGGTAAAGGTTACATCTCCCACATCTGCTGTGACCACCGGGATTCCTAGCGATGCGACGACCTTGCAGGAGCAGGCTCAGTTTTGGAACAGGGAATTTCGCGAGTTGCAGAAGATGCAACAACGGATGCAACACGAGCAGTTACTGAAGCAGTTTGACGCGCAAAGGCAGCAGCTTTTTGGTGTTCAGACGACGACTCAGTTGCCATCATCCTGGACGGAGACCAACTTGCCGATTGTCACTGAGACGCCCTTTCTGACGACGACAAGCCGGAATTTCGGTGAGTGAGCTATTTTTTATTATTAATTTTTTAGAATAATGCTACTGTTCCACGAAACATTAAATTGCACGAGAGCAGCGCTATTTCGAAATAACTTCATAATTACGATGAGCACCCAGTTTCTAGTACAGTCGTATCATCTTTGCAACGAAATTCAGGGGACCAGAAAAAAAATTGTAGAGAACTCTATAACATGGTGAGAGAACCCTATGGAACCGAAAAATCGTCACGCAGAGAACATAGTTGTAGAGAGATTGCACTTGTATACAGTAATCGTGGTTTCGATTTGCTCACACATTCGTACTTACAATCGTACCCTGGATAACTGACCCCGAGGGCAATTCGGATGCAAACGATAAAAAACGGAAAAGGTTTTGGGAAATTTAGCTGCCTGCCTTTTTCCAGAACAGTTTCATTGCAAAGAACCTCTATATTATTCGAGACCCCTATGGGACAAAAAAAACAATCTGAGTAGATATGAGGCCTTTCGAAAGTTGGATTTCTTCAGTTGTGCGAAATATATTCACTTTTGTTTGTGTATTTATTTTTCCAGATACGACGCAGGTGAGACATTCGACAGCCGTAAGCGAAACTCGTTTGATCATGCGGGAATGAGACTCGGCATATCTGTAATCGCATTTGCAAACGTGTGGAAACCTTGAAGGAGACGATGAAGCCCATGGACATAATTCTGAAGCACGGATTCCCCGACGAGCTCGTGTTAAAAAAAAATTGAAAGAGCATTTTACGGAGGACGTGTTTCAGATTTGCCGATCTGTCACATGTTTAAATTTGTTGACCGGTGGCTTTTTTTGTCCATTCTTATTAGGTTACGTCCGTGGGTAATGAACAAGGATTCCAGGTCCAGGCAACGAATGCGGTGCAAGACACACCTGAAGTTGCTGCAGCAAAAGAAGCTCATTTCCGAGGTAAACGAATTCATATTGTACAGTTTTACTGTTTGAAAATATTATTACCTGCTTCCTTGCAAACCATTCACGGAACCTTTTCGTTTTGTATGAATTTGCTTCATGGTAAAACTGTACTGTACACATGATATCTGAGACATTCTGTCATAAGATGGTAATACTGTACACATGGAAAGAACAGGACTTTTCGAAAAAATTTTAACTTCCGCGGGATTCTACTTATGCTGGAAACATGTGTGTATAAAGTCGTATAAGCATCAGAGGTTATGAAATGAAGAATTAAACGTGCAGTAATTTAATGTGGAATCTGTACGCCATAACAGTGTCCGGGGATCATTTTCCCATGCAATGTATTTTTCGAAAATATGTAGTATTAAATTCATAACACTTCTTGCGGCTTCATATTTTTTGCATTCGCTCGAAAAAAGCAATTGCTAGGACGGATGAAAAATTCAATGAACTAAAATACTTGTATGAAAATGAAAGAAATTACGATTTTTTCTGGAGACTGAAAGTGATTCACCAAAAAGTTAATATCAAAATTCTCTTGATTTTCAGGATTTAATTCATTTAAATCGACAACTTCACGAAGATTACGTTTCTTATGATCGAATGTGTCATAAAATCATGAATATCCATTTTTTTCAGAAGTCGCAAAAGTCCGAGCAGATCAAGCCAGACGACAAGCATTGAAGGAGCTGATACTTGCAACAACTGGAGCTAAGCCCTAATCAGATCATTGAGACTATGCGTGTACTAAAACCAAAAACTTTTTTTTTTAAAGGCAATTACATTTTTGAAACTAATTTTATGGTGCTATCCAAGAATCAAAAGATGAATCTGTGAGCTGCGGCATTCAGGTTGTGATGCTCGGTGCTAAATCAGAATCGTGTGACATATCGCTCAACATATCTTAATACGGAATTTTTGATAGGCATTTATTTTGAATTTTGTGAAACTTGAGAATACTTTCTCAAATTCTGTGTGCCATTGAAATCCGAGTGACAATGATGAACAAGCTTGTACCTGGATTTTTGCGAAATATAATTCATAAATTTGCAATCAAATACTTGATTAGAGAACCGTTTCCATTTCTCTTTCACTTTCTATCACCAGACGGAGAACAAAAAATAAACTTCATACAAAAAGTTACCGACAAACACTCGCATTCCGAAAAAAATATCGGTCATAACTAAGCTCACAATCTCGTACGTTTTTCTTTTCTCGCGCGAGATCATCACAACTTGTCGTTTTTCACCGAAAAAAAAATTATAGGCGATCTCGAGGCAGCTGTTTTTCTTTCTTCAATGCCTCCCTATAATCATGACTTTCCTAGCAAAAAAAAAAATGGAAGCCTCATTAAAAATATTTTTTCATCCCTAAATTGAAAATACAGACTTGTATTTTTTTGCGCAACTATTCTGCATGAGTTCAAATTAAATTTTCCCGCTCAAGCACAATTCCCATCCTTCAAACTCCACCTCGTGATTGACAAAAAAACAGTAGCCTGCTGTTATTTACTAGCAAAAAAACATTTCTTACTAGCGCATGTGTTGGAGAAAAAAAACATCAGCTGTTCTGTGAGGCAATCTGACAATGGACATCATGAGAAGGCAAAAATCTCCGATCAACGACCCACAGTTCAGGTTCAACAACCGAAAAAAAATTAATCGACGCAATCAATGAAGTATGAAGATAATGGCACAACATTGCCTATGAAGTCAATAGTCTAACAAAGACGACAAGAAATTTAAAATGTGTTCAAGTACTTTTTTATTCTAATTGCCCAATGCTACCTTCTTCTACAGAAGAAAGTCTTGGAGAAAGCGATTTTTGGTCTCTCGCAATAGAAAAACGCCTTCCGCAGTGATAAAAATTGAATCCTGACAAATTTATTATCCCAATGAAAGTAAGCACGTTATTTGAGCTTCATTATCAATTCATAAACCGAGTAATGAGCGCATTTATTCAGATTTTTACTGGAAGAAAAGAATCCGAGTACGTTCTTAACTGAAAACAATCAGGAAACCCTTAATTTTTCAGAGAATTGCAAGTTTATGCAGTGTTTCAAATTCTAAAAAAGTGCATCAATTCATATAATGAATACAGAATATCATGAACTTAGTTGAAAACACCAGAAAATAATTTAGTAAACTGGGACCTCTTTAATTGCTAATTTGAGGACACGTTTTTTGCTCTCTTGAAAACAGTGAAAATTTTCCACATACTCGCAATACAGTATTTGATTGAAAAATAAAATTTACGTGTGGTTTATTATTTCAACGGGCTTGGGGAAATATTTTCATTTATAAATTGATCCACTTTTCAAAAGTTTATGGTGGGTGTGACAATTCGTCAGCAAACAGTTCTCCACTTTTTCGAAAAGTTACTAGTCAAGGTGCGTCGTGGAACCAATGGCCAATTTGTATAATCGCGTTTTTTTGTTTTGAAAAACACGCAAAATTGCACAGCTTTCTCGCTTCCATTCCGTTATACCCCCCCCCCGCCCCTATCATCGCGACACAACACGAAGAACTAATTTGGTCGCGCGTTTGGGCCAAACAAGTGTGTTACGACGAGTTGATGAGCGCATTTATTCAGATTTTTACTGGAAGAAAAGAATCCGAGTACGTTCTTAACTGAAAACAATCAGGAAACCCTTAATTTTTCAGAGAATTGCAAGTTTATGCAGTGTTTCAAATTCTAAAAAAAAAGCATCAATTCATATAATCAATACAGAATATCATGAACTTAGTAGAAAACACCAGAAAATAATTTAGTAAACTGGGACCTCTTTAATTGCTAGTTTGAGGACACGTTTTTCGCTCTCTTGAAAACCATGAAAATATTCCCCATACAGTACTCGCAATACAGTATTTGATTGAAAAATAATTCCACAAAAAATAAAATTACGTGTGGTTTATTATTTCAAAGGGCTTGGGGAAATATTTTCATTTATAAATTGATCCACCTTTCAAAAGTTTATGGTGGGTGTGACAATCCGTCAGCGAACAGTTCTCCACTCTTTTGAAAACTTACTAGTCAAGGTGCGTCGTGGAATCAATGGCCAATTTGTATAATCGCGTTTTTTTGTTCAGAAAAACACGCAAAATTGCACAGCTTTCTCGCTTCCATTCCGTTATACCCCCCCCCCCCCCCCCCCACCCCCCCCCCCTCCTCCCCACCCCCCCCCCCCCCCCCCCCTTCTCGAAAATGTCCTCAATTATATCCACACCAAGGAAGCAAACACATGCACTCAACTCGTCGTAACACACTTGTTTGGCCCAAACGCGCGACCAAATTAGTTCTTCGTGTTGTGTCGCGATGATAGGGGCGGGAAAATAATCATCCCATCCTTCTTAAAAACCTTCTTTGAGGTGAACAGAGATGCCTGAAAGTCCCATCTGCACAATAGTCCAGGCCCCGGGCACCACAACACCCATGAGTACCGTGAAGTCGCTCAACCCGAGCCCTCGTGACATTACGCTCCGAAGGGCATCCGTGCCGAATGTGTGTGGCAGCGGTAAGCTAATCATCCGTAAAATTGGATCCATGCCTTCTCTCGGCCAGCACATGCCTGTAAAACACGGACAAAAAAAACATGAGAAATCATTTAAAAACTGAAATAAAATGGAAGAAGAGGAAATACGGTGGAATGACCTGCTCTGAATTATACGCAAGTATTGCTGTACAGTATAACAAAGGTTTTTTTCCCATTACATTATTATACACTCTAAAACTCTTTAAAGACGCCTCCGATAAAGCGCCCCCGGCATATTAATATCCTCAATTAATGTTAAATAATACTCTGGAAAAAATTGATAAGACGCCATCCGCCAACGTTGATGATAGAAACAGAAGTGCTGTTCGGTATTCGTTTTGTCTTTGGCGTTGTTGTTACAACGCCAAAATTGCTCGGGTACATTTTTTTGTCTATAGGTACTCTAGGATCTTGCATTTTTTAGCAGAAAAAAATATGCAAATGAAGTATTGTTTTGAATTATTTGAACGATAGATGAAAAATGTAATTACGATTAACGAACCATTTTATTTCGCCTCGGTGCTCGATTCAATCCAACCGCATATATGTGTACGAGACTAAACGTGAACTAAATTCAGATCAAGGGAAAATTCCGAGAAACTCAGCGAACATCGGACTCCAACCACTTCTTTATTCCCGTTGACCTAATTCAGTTATTCATCGGCTGTATATATACAGTATACAGTATATACAGAACCTTGTTCATACAGCTGATAGAGTATAAATAAGATATTACTGTGATACATTACGAAGGGAAAGAAAAGGGACATTTCTTGGGAAAAAGGGAAGTAATAGATTTAAAAATCTGATCAGTTTTTATCATTCACCGTGTACAACGGTAACATTCTTATCTTTCTCGTGGGATATATTTTTAGTGCGTGCGACTCATCTCTTTTTCCATGAATATATATACACCAAAAATGCGGAGTAAGACTTTGGAACTCATATTTACAAATCATCCCTTGACGATGAGAAGTTGCAATAAATTGAATCTTGCGCATATTCGCTTTAAAAAGCAAGAACAAATCCATAAAAAAAACACGTAACTTTTGAAAGCACGAATGCTCCAGCAATACGTGAAACGGTGTGAATTCTTGACTTTACTGAACAATTTCTGCCTTATATTGAAAGGTCCTTCTTCCTTCAATAACGAATCAACCTCTTGACTCTAGTACTGCATTATTTAACGCAGGAAAGTACAAATACAGTATTGATACTGTAGTCTTCCCCCCACACAAAAATATCGAAGGAAAAACTCACCGCTGAGAAGCAAAGAAGGCATGAAGACTCCCATGCATGCGACGATCGCAGATGTTTCATCGTTCACGAGACACGAAACAAGAAGACCTGGATAAAAACAAAAAAGGATACCAATTATATTCAGATCAACTCAGGTTTGAACAAAAGACGGATGATTTCACATTGTGGAAGATCAAGTATTAGAAGTGAAATATTTACCGAAAGACATGCCGCAAACGCCCTGCATGAAGCACAGCAAAGACATGACGGCGACCGAGCCGCGGTTGGGTAGCTTGAATGCAACCAGCATCACAAGCAGTGTTAAAACAATCTGGATTGTCACGACGCACGCTTGGGTTATCATGTAGCAAACCAGCACCTCCACGTTCTTCACTCCTGTATAAAATAAAACGAAAATTAAGAAACATTCTCGTTTGAGCGACTGATCAATTGAAATTATTTGGATGCGAGGCATTTCATTTAATTATCGAGTAGGACGCACTCTCATGAAATAAGGCGCGCACCTTGGTTTATTATTCAAGCCGAAGATTATTTGTAGACAAAAAAGACGAAACCCTGACCAAGATGCGCACCTCGCTCATATCTCTGAGTCATCCCTGATGAGATAATGCTAAAATAGAACAGCATTGAAAATTAAATTTAGATGCAATCACTTTTCAATCATTCTTCTTTTATACATAATCATCTGACACAATTCAGCCATACTTTTCCTCTTTCAAAAGAATTTCTCTTCGAAAAATAAGTAGCTGAAGATTCGAGATTTCCCCAAATAACTATATATAGGTCCCATGATGAGCACACATAAACGCGTTTGCAATTTTTTTTTTTAATATTTTAACCGCCGATATTGCACATTAATTTTTTTGCTCACACTTTCGAAAAAAAAAAACCAGTGCGTGGTACTCAAGTAATTGTGGTACAGTAATAGCATCCAAAACAACATTTATTCCAAGATTTACCTGAATTATTTAGCCAGCATTAAAGCGGAAAATTGTAATTTAATTGGCAAATGTGAGAGTGATCGTCATATAATAATTCCCCATAAAATACCAGAAATTAATGTACTGCGCGGACCAACAAATGAGCCATCAAGTTTTGATTTAAAATGCGTACTCCTATACACAATGCATTCTAGTAAAATTAAAAACGCAAATTGAGGGGCGACTTAATGTTTAAATTGAAACCAGTCCTTTAAACAATGCTGCAATACCGAAACTATTCAGATAAAACTACCGAAAGCCTCACCGGATTTTCACTAAGTCGAATTTTATTTATACAGTATCTGTAATTATTCCATCTTATTTCTAAATTTCATGAGTGAGATTTTAAAGTGATGCGGGAACGTTGAGAGCAGCAAATATTTGAAGAAGAAAAAGAAGCCAGAATACGGATTTCGTACGCCATTGATTCAAAGGCGCTTTTCAATTATTTTTTGAGTGTATATGCTGGGATGAATAAAGTCAGATCGTTGAGTATGAGAAAGATTACCTGAGACGTAGCTTCGATAAATCAATCCTTGCTTGCGCTCGAGCACGAAAGCCATCGCCGTCAAACCCATTGCCATGAAGAATACGATCCTATGGCAAGAAAAAAAAACATACGTGAGTGAATAAAGAACGAATCCCATCAAACGACTTCATTTTTTTTTTTCATCCGTGCGAGGAACTTACATGACCAACATTCCGGGAGCAACGAACTCGGTATACTTCGGATTTTTGACGCCGTAAATCGGCTCTCCGAACTGCGACGTTCATGCAAACAAAAACAGGACAGAGAAAAAAAAATGTTAATGACTCGTCAGACAAAAGGGATTTTCAAAATTCAAAAACTGTAATAAATTACATACCTCCAGCGGCAAAGAAGCGAGGTTTGGATCGAAACCGTAATCGCTCATCATTTGTTTGAAGAAGTCCCCGAATTTCGTCAGCAATTCTCGCGTGATGACGAAAACGATTTGCTGATCTGTTGGTGAAATTTCGACAAATATTTCATTGAAATCACCGTAACCTTCAATTTCCTAAGGCTGGGATTCGTGTTGAACATACTGTATATCATTACAAAAAAGGAATCCGAAGAAATTATGATGGAAACTATTTGAACCTTTAAAAAATTATGCCGGAATTAATGTTCACACATTTTATCATCTTCTTTTCGCCACCTCTCGAATGGTGCTTTTATTTTACCAAGAATCAATGAAAAAAAAACCGTCGAGTAAATCTTCTGCTCTTAAAATAAATAAAAAATGTTGAAGGAATGCAAAACTCAAATGCGAAATAAAATAGATAAATTGTGCATTGAACAATTTGAACATCAAAGTGTAAACAGGACGGGATATCAGGCTGAAAATTAAATTTCCGTTCCCAGCAATTCCTTTGCGGTTTGAGCATTATTTTCCTTGAAAGATTATTTAATTTGGCATCAATAACAGCAGAAATTTAATTGTGTAACTCAAAACAAATCTGCTGGAGATGATATGCAAAAATATCTATGCAGGAAAGTCTCTAGTCATTCGCAATTTCTTGAGTTTTTCTCTAAATTACTGGTTCAACTTTAAATTTATGCAGAGAAAATTTGTCATTAATGTAACCTTGAAATTCGAAGAAATATACTGTATTACAGCTTTATATCTTTTATTTGTTGGCAACTTCTTGGCTTGTTTCCCCAAAAAACTAAACATCTACGTTTGAAGTCCTTTAAGCGTTTCTCAAATGATGGGGAAATAAAATTATTGCTTGAAGACTTCAATCTTTTCCGATCACAAGTTCACAACACATATACAGATGGTACCTAGCAATTTGACCTCAATCCGTTGCCAAACTAGGGTCAAATTGCAAAGCAGTTGAACTGTGAGACACCTCGTTAATTTAAAAAATAGCAGCGCAGTAACGCTAAAAAATGGCCAAAGCAGGTCGAATTGTCTGCAAATTTGAACATTTAATTGCGGTACAGTCAAATTGTGGGAAGTCAAATTGCGAGGTATCACCTGTAATTCTAATTGTAAGGTTCAATTGATACCTTAGCTTTGAACAATCAAATGGTCCAGTGCAGTATTGGATCATTTCATTGCACAAGTGCAGCAATTTAAAACATGGCCATATCTGATACAGTCAAACCCCGATAAGACGCCACCATTTGTGCAGAGCAATTTTGGCAGTTTAAAGAGGTTGCGGTTTATCAAATATTTAATTTTAATTATTTGATCAAAATAGTTGATTTTTTAGATACAGGTTATGTAATGAACTTCAGGAATGTTCCAAAGAGTATTGCTGTGATCAATGGATTACTCTTTCAGAAAATAAATTTTGCTGCATCAATTTATTCAAATTTTAATATTAGGTCAATATAATTTTCAACAAAATGATCATTATTATTATTTTTGTACAAATACAAGATCCTTATTGGCAGAAATTATAATTCTACCCCAATGTTGGCATTTTAACAAAGACAAAACTAATTGGAAACAGCACTTTTGTTTCATCACTAATGCCGGCGTATGTCAGTTGGCGTCTTATCAAGGTTTTCTATAGAATTTAACATTGAGGAGATTTGTTTCATTCAAAATTTTGGTGGTTGGCAAGGGTGGCGCTTTATTGGGGTCTTAATGGGGTTTGACTGTACAGGTATTAAGGTTTTAAAATTCAGGTACATCTCAATCTCAGCGAGTATTTTGTATAATTTTTTTTCCAGTCAGCAAGTCTGGCAGCGGTTCAACTATAAATTTCCAAGTGAAATATCGCGCAAACCGTTTTTTCTTCTTAATTTTCAATAAATTTTAAATTTTGAAAAGTTTTTCGCATCGAATACCTTGTTGATCAGAGCCCGGATAACGGAACTTTTATACATTCCTTTGTTGAAAGGTCTATGATTGAATGAAGTGAGTATTATAGCTTACTCGTCATGTCGAGTCGAACGTCGATGGTGCTGTCGCGGATCAGCTGTTCACTCGCGTCAGTGACGTTGTAAACCCGCTCCAGAAAGGCAGACGAAAAATTCTTTCTCACGTGCAAAGTTCCCCAGGCTTCTCCTTCTAACACGGCTTTAGTCGCAGCTTCCATCGACTCGTAGTATCTCTGTCATGAAAATGAAACAATTTTTTCAAATGCGTTGGAAATACTTTAGGACGAAAATATAATTTTCGAATCAGGAGTCGATCAATTACAGAACTGAAAAAGGAATTCAGCTGAAAGACTTCTTGTCTAAGTTTGTCAAAAAACAGTTTTCATCTTGGATAAAAAATCTTACAGTGCAGGAAAAAATGGGTCAGAAATCTCTGAATACAATTTACTGCATATATTGCAGCACAGATCTCGACATGAAAGAAAAACATTTGAATATTTTTCCATATTTTTAAACTGAAAAACCCGCGAATCTTCAAAGATTAACGTGTTTACGTTCTGCTATATTCATCAAAAATGGGATTAAGCAAAAATTGATTCAGACATTTAAATGTTTTTCTTATCACCTTCCTTTGTCTAACATTTATTTTATTCCAAGTTTAATAAATTTATCTTTGTTGTTGAAGTGTTTCGGTTTATATAAAAACCCGCGCAACGAAATACAGTACGTGCATATTTTTGTCACGTAAATCATCTTCTGACTGCAAGAAAGTATCACACTGTATCGCAGAATAGATAGCTAGTTTGATACGCGATTTTCTTCGTGGTCCAATCAAAGATTGTGCTAAATATTCAAGGCTCATCGAAGGCTTCCGAAATGTATTCGTGAAACCTGAAGTCCGGGTCACACTGGACTGACTGGAGTAATTAAAATAAGCAAATAAAAATCAACCGAGTTTTATACGAATCTTCAAAAGCAGTACTGCTGGAAACCATCACCGAGAGGCGAGTGGGAAAGACTTGAATTAAACTAAATAATTAACGCCGGATAATTGTCAACGAAACCACAACCAGAACCAGCTAGGACAGCACAGGTCCGGGTTCGTTGGAGTTATTGCGGATGTTCTTAGAAGCAACGTGTGTAAGAGTCCGTTACACGATTTTTAAATCTACCGAAATCAACATTTGCCAAAAATTTATTTTTTCACAATAGCCAAATATACAGTATACCCGTATTCACTCGAGTACCACGCGCATTTTTTTTTTCTCTAGAAATTGAGAAGATGAAACGAGATGGGCGTCAAACAAGCGGGTATGATTTTTTTTTACAAATTTTTAAAAGTCCAAGTGTGCATTCTATATCTGATTTTAATGGAAAATGTTCGACCAAATTCAGCATATTAAAACTCATTATGATAAAAATAATTGAAAATAAGTTGGATTCAGGATCAATCCACGTCGAAATTCGAATTCGGATGTTTTCAAATTTAAGATACTGTAACTGCAATTTTAAAGTCGCTATAAATGGGGTGCAAGTCTTACCCGGAGATGCAATTTTATAACAATTTTTCGACTGAAAAACCTTGGTGCACGTCTTACTCAAGGGCACGTATGTGGTATTACTGTATTATTTCTTCTAAGTTTAGGTGTGCATTATAGTTGATTTTACTGGAAAATGTAGGACCAAATTCAGCAGAAAAACTCACTATGATCAAAATAATTTAAAATACGTTGAATTCAGGATCAATCCACGTCGAAATTTGAATTCGGATGTTTTCAAATTTAAAATACTGCATTTCTAAAGTCGCTATAAATAGGGTGCAAGTCTTACCCAGGGATTCAATTACATAGCAAATTTTCGACTGAAAAATCCTGGTGCACGTCTTGCTCGAAGGCACGTATGTGGTTTTTTTAATTTTAAAAAGTGTAGGTGTGCATCATATTTGATTATAATATACAGGTACTGTAATATTTTGGACTAAATTCACCAGGAAAACTCATTTTGATCAAAATAATTGAAAATAAGTTCAATTCAGGATCAATCCACGTCGAAATTCGAATTCGGATGTTTTCAAATTTAAAATAACTGAAATTTTAAAGTCGCTATAAATGGGGTGCAAGTCTTACCCAGGGATTCAATTATATATAGCAAATTTTCGACTGAAAAACCCCTGGTGCACGTCTCACACAAGGGCACGTATGTGGTATTATCATTTTTATTTTTGAGTTTAGGTGTGCATCATAGTTGATTCTAATGGAAAATGTTGGACCAAATTCAACAGAAAAACTCATCATGAACGAAATAATTTAAAATAAGTTGAGTCTTTTCAAATTTAAAATACTGCAGTTTTAAAGTCGCTAAAAGTGGGGTGCAAGTCTTACCCGGGGATGCAATTTTATAACAAATTTTTCGACTGAAAAAACCCCTTGGTGCACGTCTCACTCGAAGGCACGTGTGGTCCTCGAGTAAATATAGCGTACAATACTTCACTTGACGAAGGAAAAAAAAAAGTAATGCTTCGCATAATAACTGATGACTCACCGGTTTTAAAATGTCCGATCTGTATCTGTCAATGAGTCCGCAAGAGAAGGAAAAATCGTCGCAACTGGCTTGAGTCGGTGAAGTGATGTTGAAGGCTTCTTCGTTGAAAACGGCCAAACCCAGGCTTTGCGGGTCCGCACTCAGCGTCAGGCAGAACAAGATGATTTGGAAAGGCGGTAGCAAAATTTCGAAGGTCAGCGCTCTGCAAAATTAAATCCATCAATCAATCCATCAGCTGATCATTTCTACGTCTTCTTTTTTTTCCCTCCTCTTCACATGAAAAAAAAAGAAAATCGCCAGCATCAATCGAGAAAAGTCTGATTTGCAGAGATTGTCGAAAAATCCGTGCATTTTTAATTGGCCCAAGATAAATTCTCATATCCGCTTTTGTCACTCGATAATCCTATAAATGTTTTTGAAAATGATTATTTTGGTAACAAATGACTCATAATATAAGCATTGAAATGCACTCACTTGAAAAAAAAAATTCACTAAACGAGAGCATTGCTTGAACATTTGGAAGTTACTCTTACACTTGAACAAAATGCTCATCACGTCAGAAATATGGCGTTTAAAAAAAAAATCAGATTATCAGTTCTGCATGAACCGTGTGTAAATTTAAATTCAAAGCATACAGCAAGGTTATGAGAAAATGTGCTGTCTTTAAACTATTAAAGTATAAACCGTATAAGGTAAAGATTCGGATTCAAATTTTTATTTGAGGTGTCAGAAGTTGTGAGGCGATATTGAAATAAATGGATTGGCAGCCTTGTCTACCTTCATCAAATTTATGTACTGTATCTCTACCACCATGCAATGCTCTCAATTTTTTCTGAAAAATTTTGCTCACACTTCTCTGGGGGAAGAAAAACAGAACAAAAGGGAAATGTGAAGAACAATANGAAGGAAAAACGCACGAGTCTTTTGCAAAAGCAAACAGCACTTGTCTGGATGGATATCTGGCTCCCACACACGGTCCAACATTTCCCGTTTTTCACAAATGTAAAATTTTGACAAAAACAAGGCCTTTTAAGTGATCAGAAGTGCTGTTTATAAGATTCCCAGCTTTCGATATGCAGTACTCTACTTCACTGTACTATATATATATATATATATTTAGAATTTCCCACCAGCATCATCATGACTTAGCTAACACGGATCATGAAAGTAGAATATCAAAATCAAAAAGTGCACCAGCAATTACCCAATTCCATTCTTGTTACAGTACTGAATTTTGAAGTGGGAAAATTTCAAATTCGTCATTCGAAATTGTCGCCTTCATTAATAATTCAATAGCTGAACCTATTATAGTAACTTGCTGAAATTTATTAATTTCTTGTGGTTAAAATTTTTTTTAAGCAACGCACAATTTTGTTTTTCACATTTATTCTTCTCCCAGCAACACAATTTGGTCATCGGAATAGTGATGCTGTAATAAGACTCTTATGTCATATGCAAGGACCAGCTTTACGTATACTGCCGGAGCTTAAATGAAAAACAAATACTCATTCTTACCTTCTCTTATTCGCATTTTACTCTCCCATCCACTAATCCACTATATTATGCACCCCATCATCCAAATAAGATCGTAGCATAAGAATCATACCCCCGTGACAATAAATAACACGCGTGTCTGGGTTTTCTCCTCTGCTGTTCTTTCCAGGTGAACCGGGAAAAAAGGATTCGTTCTGCTCTTATTCCCAGTAAAACAAAACAAAAAAACACACATTTTGCCTTCAGGAGACCTCCTCGGAATATTTTGACTCACCCCTTATGCCGAAACATGGAGATAAAATTCTTAATGAGCAGGGCCCGCATCGTGGTCAGAGTCGGCACCCAGCTCCGACCGCGGCGTGACCTCGTCGTCACCGGGAACGGGTCCTGTAATTAAGGCGCACGATTAAATTCCTCGTCCCCGCGGACAGAGACGAGACGAGAGGAGGGCAAAGGGAAATACTGAGGACTGATGACAAGTGGAACGGAGGAAGTGAAGAGAAAAGGAATGAGGATGAATACATGAACTAGGAAGACAAACATCTCAGCTTGCAACTGCTGCGTCCTCGACGAGAAAATCATTATTTTTCAAACCGTTTGGCCGATTCGTCTCTTCGAGGTTGCCTTTGCAAAATAGCGGCTCTTCATCTACTTATTTTTCTTCTTCTTACAAGATCAAGAAAAAAAATGTAAAGAAGGAATATTGAATGCTTAGAAACGATGAGAAAACAACTCAAAATATGCAAAATTGCTTGACGCTGCTTCTTTTCCAGGCACTCTTTAATTAAAAATATTCAATTGAAAACTCTGATTCAACTACAGCCAAATTTATTTTCAAATACAGATGAACTCTCTATGTAACGAAATTCAAAGGGGCAGAAAAAAGTCGTTCTTCATTAATTGAAATTTGAGACAAAACATCGGTATACAGAGAAAAATATCGTTGTAGTGAGAGTCCTTCCATACAGTAACACTTAACTTCTTAACAACACTTTAGTCTTCTCTGTGTAACAATTTTTCTGTCACATAAGTTCGTCTGAAAAATAATTTAAAAAACATTTCTAAAACCATTTTAAACTGTTCTAAAATTTAGGGAACTCCTGGTCCATTTAATCTGAAATAACCATCCAAAAATATTCCTTATAAAAGGGGGAATTTCAGCGAAAAATTCTGGGGAAACATAGTAATATATGCGGTATCACTTATTATATAATTCATACCTCGTCAATATAAAGTTGTAAAAATGTTAAAGGAAAAAAAAAAGCCTGGAGACTCACGTGTCCGTCTTGAAACAAGCCCTGGGTCTTCGATGCAACTATTTCGTTCAGGGTCAAGGTGTCGACCTGGTCCCTCGTCGGTCGCCCCCGTTTCCCATGGGGATTCATCGTCGATTCACTGGCGAAACCCGGGTTTTCGTAGCCAGCGTTCCGACCGCCGCCACCGTTGCCGCCACCGCCGCCGCCGACATCCCTGACTTTGGATGAGACGGCGTAATAGTGGCCCTGTTGGGCGGATGAGCCGCCGTCTTGGCTGATCCCGCTGCTGCTGCCCGACTCCTTGCAAGTCCACACGAAAAACATGCGGGTAAAAGAACGAGGAGAAGAGGAAAGGAAGGGAAGGCACACCAAGATATGATTTGGGAAGATTTGCTGCTTCTTCTTTCTTTTTTAAGGTCAGATTTTTCTTGAATTTTAGTTTCCATAATCCGTTCGATTATTTTCAGCGAGAAAAAAAAAATTATCAACTCGTTCCCGCTATTATTTCGAAACCGACATCACTGAATCACAATTATCCACATTTCGCATATAGGCAAAAAAAAAAATGTATAGCTCAACTGATGTGAAAACGTCAAAATTACGGTACTGTGAAGTTTATATATTTTTTTACAAAGAATTCCTGTCGAATGGGCACAGTGACAAATGTCAGTTATTTCAAAATACTGTAGTTTATGAGACATTTACGAAACATGCAAATTATATGTCGGTGTCAATTTTTCATGTCAGTATAGCGCGAAACTTGTTTAAAATATTAATCACAGTATTTGAATTCCGCAAAACAACACATTTTTCAATCGGAGCAGTGATCAATGCAAGTTATTTGATAATAAAATGGAACCTTATCAATCAAGCAAATCATGTACCAGTTCAAAATTGTCATGACCGATTCGCAAAATTTGGTTGAAATACTAAGTTTTGCAGTCTGTTATGTTGTGATAGATTAAAAAAAGTTATCCAAGAAAAATCACTGTGAGATTATCACAGGCTGTTGCTGTTGAAAACAATCTCTGAACCAAAGCGTCATTGGAATTTGGCGCAGCAACAAAAAAGACGACAGGGACAAAAGAAAAATTAATGCTTGCGGGATAAACGGCTTTGATTTTTTCGCAAATCTTTACGCCTTTTTTTTTGTTTACCAAACGGTACTTGCTCATCTTTTGTTCGGTAAGATTCTCTGGAAATTTCTACTCGTTGTAGTTGCTGTATTGTATTGTAAAATCGCGCCTCTCGTCTCCGGTATACTATAGCTATTTTAGCCAGGTTCATTTTCTCTGATTAACTAGCTGCAGTTTAGTGCAAATATATATAACAGCTTTTTTTTTTTATTATGCCGTCTTACATTTACTAGTTCGATGTTTTGCGAATGTATAGAACTGCTCATTTCATATTGCGCGTTTTTGTTGCTGTTTTCTGTTCGTGAAATTTATGGGCGTTTTGTTTTTTCCTGATACAGCAGTTGATATTCCGAGTTGCCCTTCTTCAATTCGCTTCTCTATCGTTCAACAGTAACATTTTTTATTCCACCTGCCTCAATCTGGGTTTATTCTCAAATCTCGTGTGTGATTTTACGCACAAAGGGTGCAAAAAATGGCAACTACAGTACTGTTTTGCCGAGAACGCACACGTGTCAGGAAAGATTAACCGCAACTCCTGCATAATATTTCTGAGAACAAGAAAACAGCGAAAATTTTGAAAATCATAAAAAGTCGAATTCGAGTCATATAGAAACCGCGAGGCTTGAAAATCAACTCATAAATTTTATTCTCAGGTTAAAATGAAAGTTTTTCATCTTCGTGAACCAAGCACTTTTTCCGACTGCATGTCGTCAATTTTATTTTTCAATCGACAAAATAAGTAAAAATGGTCAAAAAGTTTTATTTTTATTCATAGCAGCTTACAAATTTAGTGAGGAAGATTAACTTGGGATCCAACGGTAGTCGCAGGGCGAAAGAAATCGCGACCTTCACAAAATAATTTTATGGCTCGAAAAAAAAAAAGAAGAAAGGAAAGACTTCTGGTTTAAGATGATCTCGCTGTCTTGAGATTTTCCGTTGCACACTACGATTGAAAGAGGATTCTCGAAGAATTCGCAAACAAAATTAAATCCGTTTATCCCCCGCGAAGAAATGTTTTTGTTCTTCGCGGTTTTTATTGAACAAATACCAATGACGATTTGGCTTAGCGCTTATTTCGACAGAAGCCTCTCGTAAATCTACCTGAGTTGTCAATATAATTTCTTTTTGTGCTGCCACACGCAAGATATGCCGAAGAATCTCAACAAGACATTTTTTTTGCATGGTTCGTAATTTAAAATGCACTTGACAGAACCTGTACTACTTAACATACACAATAATATGCGCAGTCGAAATCAAATATCGTACCGTCCAAATACTGTAATCGAAATTTTCTCAATAGCCTATATTTCCAACTAAACGCGAGAGAGACGCCAAGTAATCTTGACAAAACACAAACATTACTGGATTTTCCTCAATTCAGGACACGCCCCTTCAATTAGCAATAAAACGCGTGAAGGAACATTTATTTTAATTCGAGTCCGAAAATCGTATCCATTCAAATAATCAATAACTTTTCCAATTTTAGCGCCGAAATACAATTAAAAGTTTATTCGATTCGGAATACGGTTTTATAATTCATGTTCGAGCAACTCATGCATCGATCATCACAGCATTTATTAGGAAGAATTTCTTCGCAAAAAAATAATACACAATAACTTACAAATTTCAGTTGAGCTTCTTTTGACTACGCGGAATAAAGTGTTCAATTTCTTCATTCAACCTCAAGATATTATAAACCCGAAGATGTCGAAAAAATAATCTGACGAGATTTAGAATTGATGGACTACATCTTAATTTTTGGAACCAAAAAAATAAGCAAATCAGTCAAAAAATTTGGCTCACCAGAGACAAGTTGCTGTTGCCACGACGCAGTTGGTTGTGGGCATGGGCGTAAGCGACTTGTTTGGCTCTGTGAGTCGCCAGGAAAGTACTTGGTTGTTCTCGTTCAGCACTTACTGTAGCCACTCCGTTTTTCGGCAAATTCTCCACGGATTGGCACAGCTTGAGGAAAACGTCTTCCAGCGAAGTCAAACGATGAGCAATTAGCAGCGATTCCGGAGATGCTTCTGCCAGGAGACATCCATTGCGCATCAGACCGACCTGAATAAAGCACAAAAATATATATTCCAGATTTCCAGAAATAAAAAAAAGCTAATTGTATAGAATTAAGATCTCCATTTTTTTTGGCAAATTCTAAACGTGGGTCAGGAGAAGATGCACGCATCTTCAAGCTGCAATTTCTCCAGGCAGCTAAAAATATTATGCATGAAGAATAAGACGCCAAACGAATGCTGAGCGAATCTCCTTCCGACGGATGAGCAACTTTATCAATTCATATGTACTGAAATGACTAATACTGTACACTAATTTAAATAAACTGTATATATGCAGTATATTAAGAAAATTTCGCTATTGAAGGCGGGCTTGCGAAAATGTTGTTCCTCACACAAGGGATGCTGACTAAGTTAATTCGAAAACGCATCTTGCTGAAAAAATGCCTCTAGAGATATAAAATGTATGCATCATTTTTAAGGAAATTAATTCAATTTCATTTGACCTATTCTTCAACGTCACTCGTCAGGACGCACTAAATCACAAAATGTTGACATGCTGAAAAACTCGATCAATTGAGAGCATGAAATAATTTTTCGTTTACTTTCTCAATTTCAAGAAAAGTGATGGAAGTACGGTCATCAGATTTTCTCCGGATCGTCAATTAAAATGATATAATTATCTATTCTATGGAGGTATTCATGATCTTCGAAGAAAAATATTCGTGAAGGCTGAATCCGTGTTTATTCAGACGAATCCCATGATTCGTGTTCAGAATTTTAAAAAAATACTCAAGGAAACAAATCACTGAAAGTAGCCCGAAATCATGAAGTGCTTATTCTCGTAAATCTTTCAAAGGAAGACTTCAAAATTACCGGCTTTTAAAAATTCATTCAGCAAAGTTTGATAAGATCGGAGAAACAGTAATCAAGTAGAAAATACAGCGATTCGTTTTAATAGTTGGATCTCAACTGTTCCTTTTTGCAGTAAGTTAAAAGACGATTGATTTTTTGACCAATTTTTCTGGGTGATCGAGTCGAAGAACCTTTCGACCAAAACGTTACGAAAACACTCGAATAAATTAATTTTCAGATTTCTTTCAGAGTGCATCCCAAAGATTTCGTCATCTCCATCTCGAAATCCACAGGAAATATTAAAAAAAAACCAAGAGGAGATTGAACTCCTCAAATGTTTCTCGAGAATGTCGCAAAAATGATTCACGGGCTACCATAGAAATAATTTTTTGTAAAAAAAAAACTGAAAAATCTTGATGAAAAATGCTTGGAAAATAGGGCTTCGACAGTCTCGTAAATACACTTCCTTGTTTTTGTCGGGTCCGACGGTTATTTCACTAAAAGGTGTGGCACAGCAGTTTTAGGGTGTTTGTCGAAGAAATATTTAGGGGGAAAACAACGTTTCTTATACAAGCGCAGCTCCACAGTTTTTTTTTCAATGCAAATACACATAAATCAGGAAATGTTTAAAAAAAGTTTTCCCTTGAAAGGGAAGTCTATTCCATACATTCATCCTGGAACATTTAATTAAGCTCCTTTTTAGCATGATATAATGGAAAATATCGGCAGTTTCACAAACCCATTGAAAATCATTGAAAAAAACTCTGCTTTGAAGAAAGTTATACATACAATGAAAGGAACGAGTAGATACCTTTCTGAAAAATATTTACGAAAAATGCAAAACGACTTACCCTGTTTGCTTGGCGGGCTTCTTCGATGTAATGGGTGGTAATGACCACGGAAGTCCCTTCATCCCTCGCCAAAGTCACCAAGTGGCACCAGATACTAAAACATTAAAAAATACAGAAAAAAAACAAATAAGAAGCGTTATTAACAATTGGAACATTTTTCGTGTAATTGATCAAAAACAAGATGAAAGACCCGGACCGACACCTTTCTGTTTGCCGACGGAATACTTTCGCTTGCTTCGCTTTTGCAAAAACGTAAAAAAGACTAAACCAAAACGTTCCGTCATAAATTGAAAAAAATCTTGAAAATTCAACGTCTAAATTCTTGCAAACAGTATTTTTTTTTTAATTACTCGTAGTCGTATGTCACCAAGTCATGAATGGAAAAAAAATTTTGAAAAATTAATGTCTAAATCCTTGCAAACAGTTTTTTGTTGTTGAAAAATTATTCATGTCACCAAGTCATAAATTGAAAAAAAAACCTTGAAAAATGAATGCCTAAATTCTTGCAAACAGTATTTTTTTGAAAAATTACTCGCATGTCACTAAGTCATAAATTGAAAAAAATCTTGAAAATTGATGTATAAATTCTTGCGAACAGTATTTTTTTGAAAAATAACTCATACGTCACCAAGTCATAAATTGAAAAAAAATCTTGAAAAATTAATGTCTAAATTCTTGCAAAACAGCATTAAAAAAAATTACTCATACTTTATGTCACGAACCTGTATCGCAGCAATGGATCAACTCCAACAGTCGGCTCGTCCAAAATGAGCAGCTTCGGTTTTTGCAAAAGGGCACAGGCCAGAGAAACTCGCCTTTGTTGTCCACCACTTTTGAAAAATTAATGATTCGATGTTAGTAAATGTGACGAGGAAATTCGACAAAAATAATTTTTCTAAGTTATACGTGCATAAATCTCTAAAAAACGGACACATTCGATTCTGAAACGCACCTATAAATTCCTCAAAAAATACAAGAACTTTACTGCTAAATTCAGAACGAAGTGTGCTTCACGATATAGGCCACAATATGACCGAATATGACACAATATCCCTACTTTGGACTAAAATTGTAAAAACCCCTTTTTTCCAAATGGAAACGTGAAAAAAGATTGAGAAATGTATCATTTCTCAACTCGAATAAATCTTGTGAGAAATTGACTACAGGAGATTGTTTCTAAACAAGTATCTACACTCGTCAGAGAAAAATAAATCCAGATGCTTTTTAATTTTTTTTTTACTTCATACTACTGTATCTTTTCCTTTGATTCGGAACATGCATCTAACTTGTCCTCAGAAACACAGTGGCCAATTTTGTTTTCACAGATAAATCTATCCTTTGATTGGAAACGCAATTTCGAACCAATATATCGTAAAAAACATTTCGCATGTGAATCCTCGATGTCATAGATTCTAAAATACACTAAGATCTTTTAGGAGTCAAAATAGGAAAATCTGCTTCGTAGAACGTACTCGCACACAAATGATGTAAATATTTATTATGATAATCAACAAGAGATTTACGAAATAAACAATGACCTGGTGTTTTTGGTCCATGATTTCATGATTATACCTGAGATTCTCCACCATCCTGCTGGTGTTCGGTAGGCCGAGGAAACGGATCAAAAACGCGGTTCTGCGCTTGATTTCATCCATTCGCATGCCGTGAAGTCTGCCGAAATACCTCAAAGTTTCCTCGATAGAAAACTGCTGGTACAAGGCGATTTCCTGCAGATTAATGAAACAAAACAAAAATCGGCAGTGAGTACAATACTGTACTGTACATACAAAGCCAGGAAAGATGCATCTGGTAACGCGAACTTCCGGATTACACAATATACTGTACCAGAAAAACGAAATCCATTTTTCCTCATTCATGCGAACGATTGTAAAAGAAATACGGAACACTAAAGACAGTTCGTGACTAGAATCAAGTGACGAACGCAGCAGGTTATAATTTGCCCAGTGAACGCACTCATCATCAATTCATTTCACGCGCATGGGGTCATACATATTCTTTTGTTTTCTTTTTATAGCTGAAAACGCGATTGCAAGTTTTCAAACCGCATTCCGTTTGTTTCTCGTATTGCATTCGTTTCGTATTCCAGGAGAATAAAGCCACGGAATTCACTCGGAAAGTCTTACGCGTGATTTCACGGGTTGCGGCACGGAATTTTCTTGCAACTCAGGCCAATTAATGAAAAGCGTAAAACGTTCAAAATTTCAGCTGGATCTCTGCAGGTATTTATCGAGTCAGATATACCACTGATTTTGAATTAAATATGAATTTCCTCCTTTTAACGAAATTCCGAACCGAAAAGTGTATGAGCAGTTTTTATATTCAGCACAGGCCTATAGCGAATCGCACATCTAGTTAAACAAAATATTTCTAATGATGAATACAATTTTTTCTTTTAATAAGCGATCCGCCATCAAATTTTATTGGCCTCAGACCCCAACAACCATAAACTTGAAAACATTTTATGCTGAAAAAAGACGAGAAATAGATAAATAAATATAAAAAATAAACATGCGCTCTCGAAGAGTCAAGTGTGTATAGTATTGTAGATCGATAGAAAACTTCGAAGTCTGAAAATGGCAGATAACATAGAAATAAGTTCCTTGTAACTATAAATTGTTTTTTTAACGAAGAATTTAACAAGAGCATTTGACGGATTAATTTTTCCCGTAATCAAATGAAGCAGGGTTATTTTTCAAGGGTACGAATTTAAAAATTTGCAACACTATACCTTTGGCAGTTCGAAACAATCATCAGAATAAAATTCTCCTGAAGCGCATTTTGAGTCTCGAAACAGGAAAGACATGCAAAGAATAAGAGAACAAATTTACAAGTGTTAGTGCAGGAATTTTAACTATAAATACAGTTGAACCCATTAAACATGCCTGCATTCATTGCTTTTTCTTAACAAACCAAGTTTATCCTCTTTCCGACGGTTGATATTTGCTTTTCGCAGTTTCTTTGGTTCCGAATTAATTACTGCAATATATTATCGTTTGCAAAATCCCTTCTTTAACAATTGTTTTGTCTCCTTTTTTCCACCCAGAATCCATCGGTTTTTCTATCCTATACAGTACTAAGTATAGTTGAATAGCCAAAACCATACTACAAAAAATTGGAGAAGTATGAATATAATTGCTTCATACATTGAACATGACTTCGTGATGATGGGAAAAAATAATTTCCTTCGTTCACTCTTTTAGTCACTAGAACAACATTCTTTCTGTGCCGTTTAAAGCATTTAGAAAAATTAGGGAACTGCAAAAAAACTATTTATTTGATAAGATATTGCGAATAAGAACTTTTTCGAAGCTTTCCCATAAAGAAGCCTAAGAATGTTTTTTCTTCATTCTGTGCCGTTTAAAGCATTTAGAAAAATTAGGGAACTGCAAAAAAACTATTTATTTGATAAGATATTGCGAATAAGAACTTTTTCGAAGCTTTCCCATAAAGAAGCCTAAGAATGTTTTTTCTTCGATAAATTAAACGGACGACCTCTATAATAGATGAGAAAAAGATAAACTGCAAATTTTGGGGGTCATATTAAAAAAAACCTCGATGCACTGATTTAGCGAAGAGACTAGCAATTTTCGGGAATGAGAAGATGCTTTATTACTGTTATAGGGTTAGTTTCTACAGTGATTTGGAAGAACTTTTTTACTTTCTGACATGAAGAAGGGTTTCGAGGAACTTTATGACTTCCAAGTTATTCTCGTGTCTTTTTTTACTGTAACTTCTCCCGCGGAAAAAAATATTAAGCTCATGGATTCGCAAAAAATTCTGGAATTCTCTTTTTGACATTTGGAATTCTAGCTTCTGTGCGGAAGTTCCCAGCATCATCGCCCTTCAAATCCATCTCTAACATACGTAAAACTTACGTTTTGTGCAACAACAAAAAGTTGGCCCAGACCCATGCTGGGTTCTTACCCTGGCTAGAAATTGAGAATACATATGCGCAAGGCTGAAAGAACCTCACGTCAACATCGCATGTTGCCCAAAAAAAAAAAATGGGCGTCGATGAAACGACCGATATTTTACCCCCAGGCCAGGTCCACGTTTTCTGGTTCCCTGACTCCTACACTCGCATACCCCTTCGAAGACATGTTTTCCGCGACCCCTCCCACCAATAATACTGCAGCCCTTTGAACTGTGCCAATGCACGAACCCCTTGAACCCGCATTCCTGGAGAGCAAAAAAAAAAAAAAAATCTATGACCAAACAAAACAAAAAAGGCTTATAGGGGTGGAGTTCCTTTACCCCTTTACACAAGACCCCGAGCATTGCTGCGGGTCTCTTCTCGATAGTCGACGAGTTGGAGCCAGTGGGCAACCTGTGGTAACCAGCCTCGTCGGAACACCTGTTGACTGGCAGACACTATAGTTCCCATACTTAATTTTTTTTCAGGTTCAACCACATCACAGCATCACCCTTGAAAAAAAAAATCACACACTGGTGGAAGAAGAAGCTTGGAAAAATACACTCAGAAATGACGAAATTTTCCAAGAATTTTTAGGAATAGACTATTTCGTGAACTTCCCAAACGCGTGAAGAACACAAGACGATTTTAAGTAGTGTCAAGTAACTTTATGTAATTTTTACGATACAGTATTTGAACTGGCATTTATGAGTCATCCAGTGGTTCGGACTTCTGATGGATTTTTTCAGGCATTCATACTTATTTACAGTATACACTATATATACACAGCAAAACAGGATTACAGTGGACCTTGGGTTAACAAACGCAATTGGTTCCAGACAAAAGTTTGTTAACCAAAAAGTTTGTTCACCAAATTTTGATTTTCCAATAGACTTCGATGGAGAATAACATAATCCGCTCCTGGCCCCCAAAATGCAATCGAAAATGCAGTGAAAAAAATTTATGGAAAAATATAATTAGTCTTAATCATTGAAAACGTGGGAGAGCTTCAAATACTACGAAACATCCCAAGTTATCCTGATACTATTTACTTCTGTCATGAGTTTTTCGAAACGTAAGTCTTTTTTTTGTAAGTATATACTGCAGGATTCCTGCCCAGAAAAGGGGTCAATTTTCCAATATACTGTGACTAAAGAGCAAATTCAGCAGTTGACAGCAGAAATAACTAGAGAAAGCAGTTAAAAAGGGCTTTTTCTACAGCTTCTCGCAGATGGATATCATTTGTTCCATTAAATTCTTCTCAAACCACAGAAAACCATCATTTACTACCTTCATGTTGAAAAATCTTCAAAAATTTTGTTTGGGCCTTTGGTCTGCCTAATAATTTTAAGCTTGTTTTTTTCCATTGGAACTAATGCAAGTAAATGATACTTTATAGTTCTGTGTCATAAGAAATTTGAGATTTTTAAATTTGGGAATTTTTTTCAGGAAGAAAAAGTTTGCTAACTGAATTTTGGCTTCTTAACTTTTGGATGAAAGTTACAATTGACTCCTATGTGACATAAAAGATCACCACAATACGTTCTACTTAAAGTAAGGTCCATGACATATTTGTTCCTTCCGTTGGGGGACATTAAGTTTTAATAGACGCTTTAAAGGTATCTCAAGATGCAGCGAGATTTGCATAAAATAAATCTGATGTCGGTGGCAGAAAGTCAATTTTTTTGGTGTGTGAGAAAATATAAAATCAATCAGTTGAAAATATAATCATTCAAAAAGCGCTGGATAAATTATTAGCTTATGTATCGATATTTTTTGGTACATTGTCAACGCATCAAGTTTTTTTTTTGTTCTTCGGCTTTTCTTTCCCAAAAATGTTTACTCTCTTTGCAAAATCAGCAAATTAAGTTTTTTTTTTCAATGGGACCTTCAACAAATTTGCGCATTTGATTTCTATTTTATCTGCATATATCGCCGACTAGTGTGTGCGGAATTTTTTCTCGACACCAGCGGCAGTGTTGAATTCCCTGAGAAGGGACAAATAGAGTGAGTTTACCAAAATTGGCGCGTCTAGGGACGCGCCCGGGGCAGTAAATTAATCCCCTTGGCAGGGAAAACAGGTGGGATAAATTAACTTGACAAAGTCGGCGCACCAACAATATCTTAACCCCCACCCAAGAAAAGGAGCACGACCCCCGGAACCGGGACAAACAGTCGTCAAAAACGACGTCTCCTCTTTATCAACAGGGGGACATCAAATCCCCCCTTTTTCTTTTCTGCAAAAACAGGGGTCATCTAACCCCTCCAAAACTTACAGAAAAACTCGACCATCTGCTGGCGACGCGTCCCAAAAAATATCGTATCCTCTTCCCTAAAACGATGTATCTTCAAAAGACCAAACCTTTTCTAAACTGTCAAGGAGTACTAAAGTACCAGTAAAAGCTAAATTACTTCTACAAGCATGTTTCCTCTCCTTAATATCTTTACAAGCGTTCAAAACACCCGGTCTCTGGGAAACAACAAATTCAGCCTTGTAAAAGTTCAGCAAAATCATAAAAGCCACCCGGTCCTCCGAAAATTAACTGCTAAACCAATCTACAAACTGAAAAACACCAGCACCTGGTATTTTTCATTTTCCCAACTTCTGGGGCTCTCCGAAGATCCAACCCTCCCTGTCAATTTTCTAGCTTAAAAACCCCTGATTTCGGTGCTGACGACACACAGTCCAAATTTTGCGTGCAAAGCGTTACATAGTGTTTGTGAAAATTCAAAGTCTCTGAGAAATTTACCAAGTCCGCAAAAATCTGTTGTGCATATTCTACTGCGGAAAAACTGTTGTGCATATTTCATATTTTGTTCTATTTTGTTGATCTGCTAACAAAGGCTTGCGCTGTTTGGGAAAAATCCCTGGTCGGTTCGCGCACCTGCCAATTGTTGTGTTGAATTCATTTATCCTGTCTTAGAAACTCTTCATCTAGATCTTGTCAGACAATTATAATTTCAAATCTTCCTTCATGAATATAATCGAGCCACATTAAAACTTAAAACAAGGTGTACGGCTTCAAATATTACTTCTCTATAAAAACCGTACATAGTGTATCCTAGAAAAAATTCGGCGTCTTTATTCTTGGCGCCTATGTTTCAGCAGCGCCGAATTTTCTACGGGGGGACTCAAGAATCACGAAAAGTCGGGATCGAGAAGGACGATCTACTGCAATTCAATCAAGATAACTGTACTGTACTCCAGTCGACGAGGGAAATGTCAACATTCAGAAAATAATTGTTTGTGACGCATGAAATTGTCAGCAGAATTTCAAAACAATGAAGCATTCGAGTTGAGATACATTGTAGGGCTTATTCGGTAAACCGGGCGATTCGAATCGGCTTCAAGGTAGTTCCTAATCCACAGGGAATTAAATTACTACTGCACTTTGAGCAAGGAAATCAGCAAGCACACATTTTTTCCCAACAGAGGGTTTTGCGGAAAGTGGTTCTTCTTCCAGAAATCCAGGCAATTTTCACAATAGAAAACGTTTTTTGAAGCACGCCAAAAGAAAAAAAATTTCCCAATAAGTTCAGAACTCCGCTGACGAGGCGGAGAACATCCAAAAATGTTTTGATAATGATAATCGAAACATACTGTTCCATTTTATTGTTATTATAATTTTGACCAGAGCTTTATGCTAAACATTAAAAAAAATCTCTACAATTAATGACTGACGATGATAAGGTCGGATGTTTTACTTTTATCGCGTAAAATATTTCCTTTGGGAAAGATATTCCGGGTTCAGGTCAAATCTTTCCCTCCAGGGTTATTCATCAGAGAGGAAACTTCAGAATGATGCTAAAATTACAATAATTTGATCCTCCAACGTGACAGACGTGATTCATACTAGCGATTAAGTCATTTCATATTTTTGAATTATTACAGCATTATTAGCATAGGCGGGACTCTATGATTAAAAACTCTCGATTGATAATCCTTGTAACCTTAAAAATCTGTCAGTTATATCACAAAAACCTCTGTCTATCGCACTGAATCTACTGAATTATCCGTTCTCGATGTTTCCGATATTTTACATGTGGTTTACAGCCGCATAAAATAAATAAAAAATTCGGAACTTTCATTCCAAATCATATATAAAGATATTCCTCACAATTTCTTCGGCATCAACAGCATAAAAAGTAAGATACGTTTCTGATGCATGGTCTTCTAGTTTTTTTTTTCTCCGGAAATGGAGAAATAAAGGAAAAAATATTAGCTTACGAAGGAAATTAAAAAAAAAATCGGGAAGCATGACCCGTAAATTACGAATAGTACAATCGATTGTACAATTAATATTATAAAAACGGTTTCGAGAGTCGAAAAGGTAATAAATGAACATCGACAACAGGTTCAGTGCGGATTATGAAAGCAGAAATTGATTCAACGTCTAAAACTTCTGCAAAGACGTCTACTACCGGGAAAAAAATTCGGATCTCGACACCCCAGGTTTTCTTCGCCCCTCAAAATTTTAAATTTTCCAGTAACGTGTACAGTACATGTATAAAAAAATCGTGGACTCACCTGGGGCATGTAACCCACGAGGCTGCCGGGAACCCCCGAGTCCTTGTGGCCGGGCTTTTGTCCGAAAACCCGAATCTCGCCCGCATCCAGTCGCAAACGTCCAACAATGCAACTGAGCAACGTCGTTTTTCCGCATCCACTCGGTCCCAGCAATCCATATCTGTCGAAACAAAAAAATCCAAAACAATCAATCACTGATATATTTACCACAAAAAATACTGTATTGAAGGAAAATGTAAAATGGTGGTACTGTATATGAATCAATACCGTGCGTGTGTATATACACTGAGACCCCCTGATGCAGACATAATTGGTGCATCAAGAGTGTCCCTAAGTTGAGTCTTGTTTTCCCACAGACTTACATTATATAATTTTATTAGGCTTATTTGCAAGAAACAGATATTTCCAACCATAAGATTTATGCAATAAAAATTCTTTGTCATTTCTCCCATTTTCCAAGACATAATTGGTGCATCAAGAGTGTCCCTAAGTTGAGTCTTGTTTTCCCACAGACTTACATTATATAATTTTTAATTGGTGTTTTATGGAAGAAATATTCTTTAGAATTCCATGGAAAAAAATGTTCACCACTTGAATTTGATTCAGTGAATATATTTTCAACTCAATAAGAACATTTGGACCATTGAATAGTGTACCTCTGCTGAAGTACATTGAAAGGTTTGCATCTGCAAAAACAAAATTCAAGTCACAAAGAGAGACGGAAGTCCCTCTATGAAATTAGTAAATTTTTTAATTAGCTGAATGGACTGGAAAATGGGAGAAATGACAAAGAATTTTTATTGCATAAATCTTATGGTTGGAAATATCTGTTTCTTGCAAATAAGCCTAATAAAATTCAATTTTTTTTAAATTTATTGGCAATTTTATCATGCAATGTCCTCATTTTGAGTCAGTGTCCAAATGTCGGTCCTTTTTTATGCCCTTTTTATTGAAAAAATGTCCCTATGTCTCAGTGAAGAAAATGGAGCCATGCACGTGGAAAATCAATTTTTGTCCCTTCTTGCTGACACGGGGCTAGGAAAAACCAGGAGAGAACATATATACAGCACAGTACCTACATTTTATTTATATATACAACGAAATTTACATAAATTAACATGGAACTCCGCGCAGACTA